TACAGTGAGTGAAGAGGAACATGGTACAAGGCAATGTGTATAGCTAGTATCTGTGAAAGAGGGCAGCGATCTCTGTCTCTGATCTGTCTGTCTGTGTCTCTATACATGCATGAGTTTGGTAAAATATTTTGCATCTGTGTGTCCACATCAGTGGTACAATGTCTAGGCACGAACGTCCACGTCCCAGGTGCACTGCTGCACGTCCTCCTTAGGAGCTGTGTAGATCCATTCCCAACAAATGGGGAAGGCGATGGGCCACGCTGACTCATATGGACTTTAGGGCTGGGGGATCACTGTTTCCCAGGTCATCTGAATGAAGCACAGGCACGCACGGTGAGAAGGGGATGACCCGGAATCCTGGGTTCTTACACAGTTGGTGCCATTGATGATACAGATTTTCTGGGTAAAAACCAACGGTTTATAAGTTGGGGCAGCTAAATATTCAGATTTGATGTTGAGGTTCTTTTGAGGGTAGGTATCGTTTGTCTTATGAGAATGAGAATTTAAAATGTCACATCCAAGGTCTAAAACTGGACATGAGAGTCAAGGCCCTCCTGAAGCAGAAGAGTCACCCAGCCCTGTGATTCTCCAAAGTGTGCTTGCAGCCACCTGGAAGCGCCAGAAACAGCAGCACCAGGGCCAAGGATCCGCACTTTGCGCTTTAGGGAGCCCTGGGTGACCCCGATTTGTGGTGGGTTTGTTTGCTCTGGTTGTTTTCTTTTCTGTTCTTTGGAAAATGACAGTCCAGATTCTGGCTGATGGTAAGTCTCCTTCCCTCAGAAGGCCACCATGCAGCACCAGCAGGGAAGCCCACGCTGAGCCTCCCTCCAGTCGTCACAGAGCAGGCTGCGAGAGCCCTGCGAGGGCTCCCGGAGGCCAGCAGGAAGCGACCCCAGGCCTGGGACGAGCCCTTTGCGAGGCTGGTCCTGGGCCGCTCCGGGCGGCGGTGGCAGCAGCGGTGACCAGGGGTTCGCCCTGCGGGGAGGCGGTGTCTGTCCGCCAGCCACGGCGGGGCGGGCCTCCGATCCCCGCTCTTCCCGGCCAGGGCCCAGACACGTCGGGCGCGGGGAAGGACGCGGTGGGTGCGGAAACGTGTTGGTGGGGCATCTGAGATGAACACGCACTTCTCAGGTGAAATAGGAACAGCAAATAAATACATGGAAAATGTTCAGCGTCGCTAGTCATTCAAGAGATGTAAACTGAAATAATGCTGAGATTCCACTTCACCCGGGAAAGAGTGACTATTACCAAGAAATCAACACTAACAAGGGTTTTCCACTGCTGGTGGGAATGTAGACTGGTGCAGCCACTGTGGAAATCAGGGTGGAGGTTCTTCGAAACGCTAGAGCTACAGTTCCCATTCTATCCAGCTGTTCTCCTGGGTATCTTCCCGAAAGAAAAACAGCATACTACAAGGGCATATGTGATTCATGTTTACAGGAACAGAATTTGTAATAGCCAGATCTTGGAAACAACCTAAATGCCTATTGACTGAGGAATGATTTTAAAAGATATGGTATTTTTATACGACGGAGTACTACTTAGCCATAAAGAAGAATAAATGGAAAACCTTTATAGGTAAATGGATACAACTTGAGACCACACTCAGTGAAATAAGTAAGACACACGTGTAAACACTGTGCTGTTTCATTAGTATGAGAAGCTGAAACAACATATGATTACGTGTATGTATATTTATATAAAACAGTTAACATGGTGGTACACTTCTGTAATCCCAGCACTAGGAAGGCTGAGGCAGGAGAAGTTTTGCAAGTTTGAGACCAGCCTGGGCTACACACTGAGCCCAAGTTCAGCCTGAACTGCATAACAAGACCCTGTCTCAAAAAGCCAAAAATAAATAAATAAGATGGTTACACTACTGATTTCTCTGCATTCAGTGAAGAGAAAGATTTGTGCTGGTATTGTTCAGGCAGTGGAATGCAGATGTCTTGTGCTGTGGGTGAATGATTTGGGGATGATAAGCACAATGTATGTACCACTGTTGCCCCTGATCAACGTGTTTTGAAATTTTAGGGATATTTTCTTTTTCTCCTTGAAATAAAATGGATTTGGAAACATTTTTAAATGTAATTATGGAAAATACAATACACCAAGACCTCTTGGAAGAAATACAAAATTGAAGATACCAACAATTAAAGACATAGACGTTATCAATGAATTACTTCCTCAAAGCATCAAAAAACAAAAGTTTCGTGGGCGAGTTTTCATTTTAATGGGTTAAAACTGTCCCAGAACATACAGAAGGGAATATGTTTGCGACAAAATCCTAAGATTGATCTGTAAACCCACAGTGATTACCCATAAGAAAATCATACTTCTTATTTTCACTTTTACTGAATCCTAAATGTCATGGGAGCAAATCACCCAGGAGCACATTAGAATACAGTCCTCACCGTGGTAAAATACAGATGAAGGTCAAATTGTTTAAAATCAAATCTTTATTCATATTAGCACACCTACACATGTAAGAATTTAGACATAGAAAAGACATCTGAGTGCATTAGCATCCACTTAACAGTATTTTGAATTTAAAAAATAGATAATTCTTTAACACAATGAAACCTGTCTAACTTGTGTCAACACTGACCTCAGAATATGTGCTTCCTTTTAAAATATTATAGTGCTCAAAGAGAATTGAAATTATAAGTTACAAAAAAGGAATTAAAATTGTCACTTTACTAGATGTAAAGAGATATCCTATGACTTGTTTATAAATTACGTTTCTTTATTCAAATAAAGGAGAGAGAACTGTGTTTTCCTAGTCCCTGGACACACATCCACACTGTAGACAAAGATCCCACTTACTATAGCAACAAAGAAATAAAACTTCTAGAAATAAGTTTGAGAAAATTCAAAGATCAGTGTTTCGATTTTTTTTTTTTTTTGGTACTGGGGATCAAACTATATTCATATACAAAGACAAGCAATTAACACTACAATAATGCTCCTTTTCTTAGAAACTTGTCAGATTACCCAAGATCAAAAGTTTGGTATGAGTAGGAGGAGATAACACTTTCAGACCTTGCCTAGAGAGCTATAACATTTTATAACCTCTCTGGAACACAATGTAGCAGTGTATGTCAGTTTTACAAATGTACATACTCTTTGACTCAGAAAGTCTCTAAGAATTTATCCTAGAGACATACTTGCCAGGTGCCGCGGCCAGCGCAGGGAAGGAGTCAGGCGAGAGACTGAAGACACAGAGAGACCAGTTGCTCAGGAGGCAAAAGGCGATTTATTGAAGGACTCCAGAGTTCTTATAATGTTTCAAAACAAAGAGCAGTACAAGTCACTTCAGGACACTTTCTTGTGCACACAACAAAGGTAAACATGTTCTTGGGCCCGTGAGAAACTTCTATGTTGTGCAGCCCAGGAGGTAAACATGTTCTTGGGCCCATGAGAAACTTTTATTGTTTATGTTATGAAGCTATTCCCAGGTTAATATCAGCGCGATGCTTTGTCTAGAAGGCTGAGGTTACTGCAGGATGAGGAACTGGTTGAGGTCCAGCTTCAGTGTGTGGTTTCCCACACCCGTTCACTGCCGGACCCCTGGCTCCCGCTCCCAACACATACTCCCACATATGTAAGGTGATATATATTTGAAACCAGTTTAGCATTATTTATAAACAGGAAATAGACAAATTTCCCATTAATAGAGGGGCAACTAAGTAAATATGCATAATGAAAGTGTCAAAAATAAAGAGGCAGCTCTATGTATATGATAGTGAGGAAAATTCCAAGATTTATTATTGAATAAAACCAGCGAAGCCAGGCATGGTGGTACACACCTGTAAACCCAGCACTTGGCAGGAGGATCAGTCTGAGCTTGAGAACAGCCTGGGCTACAAAGTGAGCTCAAGGCTAGTAGAACTGCATAGCAAGCCACTGTCTCAAAAAGACAGACAGAGAGAGAGAGAGAGAGAGAGAGAGAGAGAGAGAGAGAGAGAGAGAGAAAACAAAGAAAGAAAGATCTAGCAAAAATAGGGAACGCTATGCATAATTTGCTATTCATGTAAAATACCAGGGACAAAGTATATATAAATATCTATTTCTAAATCATAAAATATTTCTGGAATGCTACATAAACAATAGTTTTGGTTGTTTCTAAGGAGTGAAATGGCTGCAGGCAGGAATGGGAGATTTTTTTTAATTTTTATTTTGGAAATATTCTAGTATCTGAAAGAAATTACCGACTAGCAATGACTCAATATCCTTTATCCACAGTTTTAAATTCTAAAAACTCAATTATTATTTTCCAAAAAATTGGCCATGAAAATTCATCCAAGTGCAAATTTTATAGTGAACTAAACAGAGATTTTACGCTCCCTGTTAATCCACTTAAATTGACGTCCATACATTTCACACCTCAGTGCATAAAAGTGTTTGGTGTGTGCTCTGAAATCCTGCTGGATGTTGCAACATATAACCTTCATAAAATAAAAAACACAAGACTTGTTCTTGTGTAAATAAGTAAATAATAAAATCCTGCTAAAACATAACAGTGTGTCATGCCATCTCTCTGGTTGGCACAACACTGAATAACAGCATCCACGTTATTTGTACTTATAGTATTTATTATGGATTTAGTGTTAAATCCAGACTTTTATAGCAAACTAGGAAGGAAAAACATCAAAATAACACATACGAATTCCAAACTAATGGTGACTATCTCAGGGAACACGACTAAAAAGGAGGTGGCGTTACTTATTTACTTTTAATCATAATATATTACTTTTTCAAAATGTCTTTACGACATTTTCAAAGGCTAGTGGCCTATCCTTCATCAGTTCGTTTGTTAGTTTGTTTGCTTTGAGTTTATAACCTGTACGCGGCCCACTCAGGCCTAAAATTCTAACCCTAAACTCAGGACATCCAGAGCTCGAGGTTTCCAACGGGTGGATTTCAGGTGAGTCTGCGCTGGAGGCCAGCCACCGAGACCAGGAGCCTAGACCTACCGGAAGTGCTGCGGCCGGTCCGACGGGGGGACCCTCCGGCCCGCATCTTCGCCATCGGCCGCTGTTCCCGCTCCCAAGCGAAGCAGGAGCCTGAGGCCTGAGCTTAGCGCTCGTCCAGGTCTGGTAACTCGGCCCCGGGGACACGGGCGGGGAGCCTCGCGGGGCAGGTAGGGCCAGGAGGACGTAGGTGAGGCCTCCGGGGCGGGAGAGACGCAAGGGTCAGGGTGCTGAGGGGCGCGGGAGGGACATCGAGGTACAGAAGAAGGCGCCTGCCTAAGCTAACGCACAACGCATAACGTCACACACACACCGCACACGCGTCACACATCGCACACCACATACATCGCACACTACACATCACACACCATACACGCCACATTACACACACATCACACACCAATCACGTATGCACACCACATACCACACACATTACACACATATCACACACAGTACATACACCACGCCCACTATACACATATCACACTCCCCACACTTCACACACGTCATGCACACACGTGTCACATCACACACCCACAGGTTTCCCTGGTCTTAGGCACTGCTCAAGCTGTGCAGAAGGGTGCTCTCCTGGAGGGCTGTGCATTCTCAGGACTTCCTTACAAGGCACTTAACCTTAGGTGACCTACTGAACTGCTCTCGGACTAGTACTAGGTGAAACGATGATTACAATAAAATCTCAGTAGGTACCTGTCAGGATTAAGTGTTGCTTTGAAAATGTGAGACCGTGTTGAGATTTTTGTGTATATTCACAGTTACTCAGGTAGCAACCAGGCAATGGGGAAAGCTCACAGTACTTGAAATCTACCTAACCTTTGTTTCTATAAGGTTAGCGAAAATATTCTTAAATGGTTGTTTAAAGTTAAAAAAATTTAATAACTGTTGGTTTTTTCATTTAGTCAAGAACATTATTCCCATTGTTCATTTTTCTAGTTTGATTTTTATGCAGGGAGTTTAAACTTTCTGAATCATTTGTGTGTTCCCTAGTTCGTGGACTTCTTCTTCCATGAGTTCTTTTAGGTGAAGGGATTATTTTTTGTTTTCTGACAACATGGGATTGAACCTGGGATCTTATATGTGCTAGACAAGCTCTCTACTGCAGAGGTATACCCCAGCCCCTCCATGAATTCTGCAAGGTGTTTTTGCTATTTCTTTTTCATATAGAGAACCTAAGAATGAAAGAACATAAGCAACAGACACAAAATCACACAACTGGTGTTAGAACCAGAGTCAAACCCAGGTCAGAGTAACTTGGAAGTCTCTGCTCTTTGAACATTATAGCATATATTTCTGTTATATCCATCCTTTGCTCACCCATGTAACCACTTGCAGTGAAAAACTTTCTAGTGTATGATAATTGCTGATAATATCAATTTCCCATCAGTCATTGCTATTTTCCTCTAAACAATTATTTTTGCTGCTTAGGAGAAGCCTCCAACGGTGTGTTTTGAAGGGTGCCTTCTTAGCTGCTCAAGGTCAGGATGAATACACAAGTTGTATCCCTGGATTTTCAAGCCCCTGAAGTTTTGGAAGAGCTCATGATGGTGAAAGTTGAGACAGAAAGTCAGCTTCAAAAGCAGCAATCCAGACCGAAGCACAGTAATCCTCTAGCAAGGGAAATTTTCCGAAGGCACTTTCGGCAGCTCTGCTACCAAGAGACCCCAGGACCAAGGGAGGCTCTTACTCGACTGCAGCATCTTTGCTACCAGTGGCTGAGGCCACACGTGAGCACAAAGGAGCAGATCCTAGAGCTACTGGTGCTGGAGCAGTTCCTGGCCATCCTACCCAAGGAGCTGCAGGGCTGGGTGAGGGAGCACTGTCCAGAGAGTGGGGAGGAAGCTGTGATTTTGCTGGAGGAGCTGGAGAGAGAACTTGATGAACCACAACATGAGGTAGGAAGGGAGGTTTGGCAGGGAACAATATGTGTGTGGGACACCAACGCCCTTGTATCCTCTGCACTGTATTCCCCAGACTTTGGCAACAGGACCCAGCTTCTGAACCCTTCTTTCTGGAAAGTTTAAGATCAGATCTTGTCTCTTTGTCCCCAGATGGTAACTCACATACACAGACAGGACCTCTCCAGAGAGAAAGTGCCTCTAGGAGAGCAGTCATCACTGAGCCTTCAATGCCAGCCTGCGGAGCCCCAGCTCACGTGTGACCCTGCCCAGGAGTCCCATCCTAGTGGAGACACAGGTGAGGGCAGAAGCTATCTGCTGTTGCACATCTCTTTCCTGCTCAAGCAAAAGCGAACAGCGCAGTGCTGAGGAAGGGTGGGATTGAAAGCCTCCTCCTACGTGGCCATAGCGCCTTTCCCTGAGGACCACCTGGAAGCGCTCTGGACTCTGGCACGTGGTACATAAGGAAGCTTTCAGGAGTCACTGAGTGGGGCTTGAGAGAACTGGCTTCCAGGTTTGAAGATGTTACATTTCATGATTTTGCCTCATAGAAGTTGTATTACTGAATGGGTTATCTAACCAATACACCCTAGTTTTCTTAGCTACAAATTGGGATTGATAACTGTCTTATACTGTATCTTACTATATTCCTTTATATAGGCTTCTGTAACAATAGCACAGAGTGGGTGCCCTAGACGACAGAAATTTGTTTTGTTTTGATTCTAAAGGCCTGAAGCCCAAGATCTAGGTGCTGCTGGGTATAGTTTCGGTTGAGGCCTCTCTTCCTGGCTTGTGTGTGGCCATCTTCTTAATGTGTCCTCTCGTGGCCTCCTCTGTGCCGTGTAGAGAAGACAGCTCTGGTGTCTATTCCTCTTCTTATAATGGCTCTACCTTACAACCTCACTTAACCTAGATTATCTCCTTAATGGCCCTGTCTCCTTATAGTCACATCAAAAAGTAGGAAGCCAACGTATGAATTAGCAGGGTACACAGTGTGGTTGCTAATATGCATGTCCTTTAGCAGATTGTCATGAACATTAAATAGTTTATAAACATCCCTTGACATGCATTACTGTACATTCATGGTGGCTGTTCTCACTAGAAACTGCAGTGCCACCTTTGCCAGTTTGGTTCCACTCGGCGGCAGCAGAGATCCACACGCTGGTACTCAGGAGGCAGAGGCAGGACTGTGAGTTTGAGCTAGCCTGGGCTACCTACTGACTTAAAGCCAGCCTGGACGGCTCAAAACTAAGTAAGTAACCCAAATAAGGAAGTTTCTATGGCAGAGACTACACATGTGCTCAGCAGGCAGCAGCTGTGTGGGAGAGCCTTGTCTGTAACCTTGGTAGCGGTCATGGCCACCCTCATGCATACGCTGCTGGGCTCTCAGGCTTAGCTCACACCTTCCCTTCTAGTTCTTGCCTCAAGAACTGGCTGCAGCTTCTGTCTGTTGTGCACAGTGATGACCGCCCGCTGACTTCCTGCTACCCTTCTGACAGTCCACAGCCAGCCCCCGCTGTTTTCATTTACCCCCAGAGGTCTCAGAGTCACACCTTCCTTCTCTGTGCTCTAGCCTCTATTAATTTCATCTACCCTACAAATCATACAGTTACTGTGGATTTCAGTTTCACAGAAACATGGCTGTGACTTAAAGTGTATTTGTTGATTAAATTCTGTACACACTATGGCCTTCTTTTGGCTTCCATGACTTATTAGATTAGAATCACTTCTGGTTTTATTTTTTTTATGAACATCTTTCCCGTCTGTTTGTTTGTTTCTTTCTTCCTTTTCCCATGAACTGGGACTTGCCATTTTCTAGCTCACTTTTCCTATTTCCTACGTTCTGAACTGCATTTAGAACTCTGTGAGAACCTCTTTTCCAGGAAACACATCTGGGTAAATTCATCAACTCATCCATTTATCTTTGAAGGCATTCATGTCTTCCACAGATATTTATATAAGTACCTATTAAGTCTACAGTAGAGTATCCCAAGTCATCTACAATTTGGACTGTGCTGCAGGGTATCAATGCTAGTGTTGTGTTACAAATTCTGGAAAAGCCAATATAGCAAGACCCTGTTTCAAATATAAATACCTAAATAAATAAGTAAATAATCCAAATACACAAGCTTATATAACAACCAAAGTTCTACAAATACTATTACCTAGGAATAACCTGTCTTGTCAGTGTATTGTATATTTTTTATGTTTTTTCCTCTTTCTATGTATAAAAGAATTTTTTTCTGTCTATCTTTTCTATCTGACCATATATGTGTTCTCTACCCTGCTGCCGCAGTTCTTTAAAGAGGTGGAAGGATGGTAAGCAGAGGTTTGATGGTCAGTCACTTCATAGTACAAATGAAGTCATTCCTGTCGTAAATGATTGTGTCAGTGGTAATTAGTGAAGGTGAGAAATGTCTTAGTTTTTATTTTCCCCCAGTTACCTTGAGTACCTCAGATGTGGTTATGATGATTGAGTAAAAGGGCCTACTGGGCAAAGACATGTTCCTGTGTCACAAATCTACTGTGACCTCCCTACGCCCACCCAGCCAAAAGGAGGAGGAAAATCCTTGGCAAATCGCAGAGGAGACCTAAGAAGGCCCTGTGCAGCTATGTGTAGGATAGGAGAGTCAGAGGTGGGGAGGGAGCCAGGTATCCTGGCCAGTGGAGGAGGTCGAAGGCTCTTTGCCTTGGGCTTCATGGGCTGCTAGATAGAATCACACCAGGCAGCTGAGGCAGCCTGGGGATTCTGCAGGGCCTGCTCTCCAGGGTTCAAACAATCTGGCAGATAGACTGGCAGGTTGGCCGGATGTCTAAGATGAGCCAGACCAGTTTCACAGCCTTTTCCACAGGTGCCAATGAGATGAGGCCTTAATAGTAGGATAGGTTTCAATTCTTTTACTTTAATTCTTTCATTTAATTCATTCAGCAAACATTTTTTGAGCCAGTATGTGCCAGGTGTGATTCTCAGAATATATATTAAGGTCTTGTTTTCAAGGAGATTAGATTTTAGGAAGAAAAAGATAATATTAACATAAAAAATATGGTGGCATTTTGTTAGAAGACAATACATGCTGTGGAGTAAAGAAAAAAGAGAAGATACGGGTACATAAGAGTACAGTGGGGCCAGGAACAGTGGCACATGCACATGCCTATAGTCCCAGGTACTCAAGAAGCTGAAGCAAGGAGGTCTTGCTTGCACCCAGGAGTTTGAGACCAACCCAGGCAACACTGGCCCTAACCAATAAGAACAACAGTGCAGTGGATGAGGCTCACAGATTGTAGTGTTACATAGAAGAATAAAGATGGACCTCATTGAGCAAAGACTTCAAGGGTGGGCAAGAGGGAGCTTTGCTCTTATCTGAGATGAGGGCTCCCTGGAAGGGAGAAGCCAGAGCACAGGGTTGGGGGATTTGGAAGTCCTGAAGTTCTGCCAGAAGCACCTGGAGCAGTAGAAGCTTAGCATGTGTTCTGCAAGTGAGTGAGCAGAGCACATTTCCTTGGAAGTCCCTTTGATGCTCCCTACCTTAGAAGGGTGGCATAGAAGGAAGCCACCTTAATCTTGATCTGTCCTTATCTATGAAGTATTTCTGGCTAAGCTCCATTTACCTAGGAGGGCAGATTGGGTAGGTGCTAACACCTTCCTGTGTCTGGGCTCCTCTTCATTCTGTGAAAAGTCATCCTGTCACGGGTTTGGAACCAAATACACTTACTTCGTTTTTTTGTTTGTTTGTTTGTTCCAGATAAAGTGACCGAGATTAAAAACAGGGAGTTGCTGCTAGAGAAAGACTGTCCACAGGTGGTCGAACAACATGGGAAAGTATTTCATGATCAGACCTGGGAGGTATCACAGCGGGACCCTGGACATGAAGTTGGAGAGTGTAAGGACAGGGCCGAGAGGCAGTGGAGAAGCCGCTCAGCAGATAGGCAGCACCGATGTGGGGAATGTGGGAAGAGCTTTGCTCAGAGCTCAGGGCTCACTCGACACCAGAGAACTCACACTGGAGAAAGACCCTACGAATGTAATGAGTGTGGGAAAGCCTTCAGTCGCAGTTCTGGGCTCTTTAATCACCAAGGAATCCACAATATACAGAAGCGGTACCACTGTAAAGAGTGTGGAAAGGCCTTCAGCCAGAGCGCAGGTCTGATCCAGCATCAGAGAATCCACAAAGGGGAAAAGCCCTATCGGTGCAGCCAGTGTGATAAAAGCTACAGTCGCCGTTCATTTCTCATTGAGCATCAGAGAAGCCACACAGGAGAGCGACCTCACCAGTGCCTAGAATGTGGGAAAAGCTTTAATCGCCACTGCAACCTCATCCGACATCAGAAGATCCACATGGTGGCTGACCCGAGCCAGGCATTTGCCGTGGATGAGTTTTCCAAGTCTCTGGCCAAGTTCTAGCGGTAGGGTAAGACCAGGAAATGCCTTTTTCTTCCTGTCTCCACTAAACATGTTCGAACAGGTACTGCCAGGGCCCAGGAACTTCCAGCAAAGGGATTTGGTATTTTTGAAGGTGCTGCTTTTCCTTTGTTTGCCACTTTCCTGTTCTCATGACTCTTGTCCTCTTATTCTCAACTGTTGATCCTTATTAATAGTAAGAAACGACACTGATAAAGTCAGTGTCCTTAAAAAACCTGGTCTCTGTGTTTAATTTCTAAAGACAGGGTTCCACTGGTGCTTTATAACTGGTCTTTGGTGTTCTCATGACCACTGCTTGCATCAGGGACACCTTTGGACACTACTGTTTCTCTTGGACACCTGCAAGATTCTCTTGTAATAGTGACCAATGCTGCTGTGTACCTCACTACAGAGTATGTCTTGTCCTCACTGCAACCACGCAGGTAAACAAGTGCTGTCACTGTCACACATTACAGACAAGTAACCTAAACCCCAGAGAATCCAAGCGTCAGGGCCAAAGCTTGAAACTTAAGATTTTCAGTAGCCTTTATATTTTGAAATAATTTTAGACTTATAAAAAAGATGCAAAGATAAGAGTTCTTGTACACCCTTCACCCAGTTTCTAATGTTCTTGTCTCATATGTCTTTTTAAACATTTGGCTTTTGACCCCAATCTCTTTTAAGGTGTCAGGCCTCATACTGGTATAAATCATCTTCCTCATTTAAGTTTAATCACCTGAAAATCTCTTAGTGTTTTTATATCACACCTTTAGTGTTACGTAAAATCAGCAGTATCCCAAATAATAGAATATCCAAGAATTGAATCACTGTTTCAGATTATTATGCCATATAAGCTGCTGTTAGAAATCTAAATCTTGGGGCTGGAGATTTAGCTCAGTGGCGTAAGTACCTGCCTTGTAAGCAGGCTGTCATGAGTTCGATCCCCAGTACCGATAAAAATGAAAAAGACAAAAAAAAAAAAAAAAAAGAAATCTAAATCTTAGGGCTGGGGATTTAGCTCAGCAGCATAAGCACCTGCCTTGCAAGCAGGCAGTCGGTCATGAGTTTGATCCCTGGTACCAATAAAAAAAAAAGAAAAGAAATCTAAATCTTTCTCTTTTTTCCTTGGTTTAGGTCTGGAGAAAAACATTTCCTCTCTGATCTTTAAGAAAATCAAAGAAGTGTTCTGTAGCCTTAGTCTTCTCAAACCTCTCAAAAGAGGCTCTTCTCCCTATATATGGGAAGAAGGAATCTCATCTCCTTAAGACTCAAATAACACTTGGGGCGTGAGGTTCCCACAGACTGTCTTTTGGGAGGAGGCATCTCACTATGTAGATCAGGCTCCCTTGAGCTCACTAGGTAGCCCAGGCTGGCCTCAAAATTTGCAGTGACCCTTCTGCCTCAGCCTCCTAAGTGCTGGGATACAGGCATGTGCCACCATGCCCAGCCCATGGGCTCTCTTTGCCTCCTGTACCTTAATCCCTTTTATGATTTCTCTACCAAAGCTGTAGTCCCATCTTTTTTCTTTATTTGACTATTTGGAAGGTTTCCAAGAGATGGGAGTGAAAAGGCATGGAACATCTCTGTGCATATCACTTGATTTTGCACTGTTTTCCGTAACTCCTGAGTGTATTGCACTGAGAACTCAACTCTTTTGGAACTGGGGATTATGTGTTTTGGATTTTTTTTTTTTTTTTTTAATCGGTACTGGGGATTGAACTCACGACCGCCTGCTTGCAAGGCAGGTGCTTATGCCGCTGAGCTAAACCCCCAGCCCCTGTTTTAAATCTTTTATTGAAAATGTAGACAAAAGTAGAATAGCATAGTAAACCCCCATGTACTCCTCACTCAGCTTGAACAGTTACTAATTTATGGCCCATTTAGTTTTAGTTATAAATCCTCTTCCTCTGAATAATTCTGAAACATACTTACAATACCAGTGTTGACTCAGGTTCAAAGTACTGAGCAGTCTTAGTAACTAAAGCTCATCTTAGATGCCATCAATAGGTTCCAAGGAACCTGGATTTATCTTTATAACACAAAAGAACAAGTTGATTCAGTCAACTTCCAATTAAACAATTTATCAGGAAGATCCTAAAGATACCACAGGGAGATAGGTGTACCTCTTACGTCAGCTTTGTATGTCCTGTCTGCATACAAGTGTGTCTAGACGGCCTGCAAACCCCATTACCAGGCTCTCAGAGCTACCCAACTCTCACTACTGAGTTCAATTGCGAGAAAAGAAAGGGAGAAAATGCTTAAAGGTTTTGATCTGGAAGTTAACACCTGAAACGAGTTATTTTGGAAATTGTGCAGTACATTAGCATTCACTCAGGAGAGGACAAACCATAATATTACTCATAAATAAGTTACATTTAGATTACTTTTCTAGATCCTGAAAAACCTTGATGTACCAATCTAGAAACTAAAGTAAAAACAGGGATTTGGAAGGTATATAGATTTTGATTAATGATTCCATGCCTAATAAAATATGTGGAGCAGGCAGGGCTATGTCAGTGTTCAACTATTGGGATAAGGGATGAGCATTGGCTATCTTCAGGTTCCAGGGTCTTAGATAAGTATTGCACTGGGAGAGATTGTTGTACCAGAAACCAAGTAAGAAATATGAGTAGATATAAACAAAATTGTTTTTCTATTATAAAGGACAGAGATACATTAACAGGCTCAAAGAAGTCATTTTGAAAATGTTCTGTACTAGGTGCTCCATTTGAAATGTATAATGCAGATAACACCTTGTTTGTATGCTTTTTTGAGGCAAGGTTTTGCTGTGTCCTTCAGGCAGGCCTCAAACTTGTAGTTATCTTCCTACCTCAGGCTCCCAAGTGTTGGGATAACAGGTATGACCATACCCAGCCCGAAAACATATAACACTTAAAGCTGAGTGAAAAAAAAGTTTCCTCATTTGAATCTGTTACTTAGTTTTTAACTTTGATGAGGGAAAAATAAAGATGGACTAAAAAGGGAGTTTATTCAGTTGTTAAAAGATCATATCCTGGGTAAGTGAGCAGATGGTACCACTGAAATGGGGCATCACTGCATCTGTCCTGTCATGGAGCTCCTGGGTACTTTTTAAGATATAGTCTTTATTATTAAACAATTGTAATTTCAATATATGAGAGTTCAGTTAGCATGGTGTTTAATATCCGTTTAAGAAGTATCAACATTTCCACAGTATTAATGTAGCATTTGTATATGCAAGAATTCCAACCTTATGACTTGTTGCTATTTTTTTTTTTTTTTTGTCCACTAAAGGAAGAGAGAAAAAGTAATTTGCAGGAAACATATATATCAAAATTAAGAACAAGTCTAAGCAACATATTCATCAAAAGCTTTTTTCATTATAAGCATTTCACTCATGTAGGAAAAATATGCTACAAGCAGTTACTTATTCAAACAAAGTGAGGAAAAAGAAAGTGGGAAGCTTCTCACTTCAGTTGGGGAAATGCTGCTCTCTTGGTCATGTTGCAGTGCTAAGAATCAAAATTAGGGCCTAGGCAAGCACTGTACCACAGAGCTATATTTTCATGTCGGGAGAAATTGTACTAAAATGCCTAGAAACTTAAGAAAGCACAAAAAGTGGCACTATTTATTATTTAATTAAGCAGTATACTGGGTCTAATTTTACTTGAAATGTTTTTGACTATCCCTTTAAATAGGTTAGAAATAAATCCATTTTATAGGTCACTTAAAAGATTATATTTTTTTATATAAAAGGTATCTAAAGATTTCAGAAAAATAATTTTTATTTGAAATTATACAATACCGCCAAATAGTTTGCTAGGTAATGTTTTGATCATAAAATGTCAGTGACTTTTCAGTATACAATAGTTTGATGTCCTTGCTCAGTCACTGAAAGCCCCTGTGATGTTCCTGTTTCTTCAAATTGGCCTTACTGAATGTGACAAAGTCTTTGTGATCATTTCAGTTCTCTAACACGTCATCCTGTCCATGCAGTGATAGCTCATGTAGCTGGAAGTCATGTTTTCTTCTTCTGAAGTTATATATCCCAAAGTGTTAGTTTACAACTCCCAAGGCATTTATGACACTGTTCTCTGTGAAAGTCTCACCAAGCTTGTACTAAAAGCCTAAGTCCAAATATGTAGGAATGTATGCCTACACATATACCACAGGGGTGCTTGGAGACGTTGTGTCTTGCACCATCTGGCAGAATAGGAAGACAGGCACTGAAAATACTTCTTTATATTTGTCTTCTACAGAAAGATTTTAGGCATAGAAGGAGCAGAAAGATTGAAAGGCACAGGGCTTGTTTGTTAGTAAGTTATACTTTTATGATGATTTGTAGTTTGTAAAACACTTTCACATCTCTTCATGTGATAGCAAAAACAGTAACAAAAACAAACAGTTTTTGTTGTACAGTGAGTTTGAGCACATATGATCAGGGAGATTAGCTAATATTAAGAAAAAGTAAAAATTTAAAGGAGAGAAAAGGAAATGGTGGACCAGGGATTTGGCTCAGGGGCATAAGCACCTGCCTGGCAAACACAAGTCGTGAGTTTGAGTCTGGGTACCAAAAAAAGAAAACAAAAACCAAGGAAATGGCTAACTGCAGAGATATAAAAAGTAAGGTTAATGTAAAAGAAATAAAGGCTAGAAAAGACTGAGTGGAGAAGGTCTGAGGAACTTACTTTGGGAGACGGCAATGGAGCGACAGGGAGCTATGACAGGGAGAGCCCTTGGGTTGCGAGAGCCTGCGCCAGCCTGTGATACAGAACCCAAACCCAGAATGGGCACTAGAGAAGAGCAACGAGCACTGGCTGCTGATGGAGTAAAGCGTGGTCATGGGTTTCTTCAGAAGCAGAACCCACTCAGCACACAGTTGGGCAACACTGGAGCTGGGTATGTGTACTCAAACACCTAGGAAGAGCATCTTCAAAACACAGGGGACTGCAGTGCACAAAGGGCACTATCATCAAAGTTTCATTTCTTACCATGAGCCCAGCAATGACTCTTGACATCAGATGTTAACCTTTTTGGTACTAGGGAGTCTTTTTCTTCAGAAACTTGGGATTTGCAACGTGCTTCTAAACAGGTAACTTTCTTCTGCCACCCTCAGTTGTGTTCCTGTTCACACCAGCGGCTGCTTACCTGTCTTCATATTCTGAACCCACAGGGCTGTCTTGAAGCCATGGTAATAACCATATGTGGTGTGCATCCTCTGCCCTGGAGGCAAGTTAGGCTCAGCTGGACAAGCCTGATGTAGCGTGCTGAAAACTGGGGCAACAGACACAGACGGTGGTCTTAGAACACACCAGGCCCAAGACAGGTGCAAAGCGAGAGGCTAATGAGTATTACAGGAGTTACAGCAAAACTCATAATCACTTTGACCTGACTTCGTTGACTGTTACTTACCAGAATGTGAAAGACTTCCCTTTAAAAAACAGCAAACTTCATGTGTACTAACAGAGTCCTATGGTAGGAACTATTTCGAAGGCTTCAGTGATATATGATCTAAGATTATGCCTAAAGGCCTTGCCTGCTACAGTGTTCTTACTGTAAGTTCTCCCCTCATGGAGAAATACAGATTCCCACCCCAACTCTGGAAGCACTACAGATCTGGCTGAGATGGACTCAGAATCTAGAATCTCAGAATTAGATAAAACACATTTGGCCATTAGAAATTCCTCAGAAATTTAGAAGACAGCTTTTCAGAACTTTCAAGGTCATTTTATATGTTTAGTAAATGTTTATTAGCACCTGTATGCAAGGCACAATGACAAGTAAAATTCATTCTTGGTGTGATGAACTCATGAAGAATCATTACTGCCAATGGAGTATAAGAGCAGCAGCCCCACAAGTCAAAAGCCATCCGTCCAGGAGAGAAAGTGCTGCCTAAAGGGCGCTAGCCTTTCTGAAAGGCCAATTAAATGTGATGTAAGAGCAAAACACCTCAGGTCACACCTGTTCCAGGCAATATTCGGATGTCTTCTTTTTAAATACTGTTCCAATCACCTTCTAAAATGTGGACAATAATTTATCTCAGGCAGAGAATATTTGCTGATACCTGATGATGTGTATTAGTAAAACCACACCCACAACTTCTGTAGCCTCCGTTCAGTGACAAATGAGCACCAACTTTGCTATGTACAAAATAGGTCACTGTACCAGAAATTTTTTGCCCACGTGACATATTTTGCTACCATTTGATTTAATTTCTTATTATTGTTTAGAGCTCTAGCACCATTAAAGCGGCATTCGTAAGTTTTGACTTCATTGATCTTTCACTTTCAAAGTCTCAGCTGAGCAGGTCAGTTTTGCTAAAGAGGACAAAAGTGATAGTAATTACTGTGTACACTTAAGATTGGGGAAATGATCTTGCATAAAATGTTTGCCATTATAGGAAGTGAGATCTAAAGTGCGTTCAGAGAGTGATTTCAAACTTTGAAGTTTCTAAATAAATGTCCCTCAATCGGGAGACACTTATCTGTGTAATGTTTCTGTTTCTGGAATGGAAACATCCATGAATTTAAGACTTAAAATACTGTCTGATCCTTATTTCACTCTGAAGCTGAACAACACTTTGATTCCCAAAGAAATTCTGCTTGCTTCCAGTAGGCACAAGCAGGGTTAGAAAGTCACTAATTAAACGTATTTCCATTGTGAAATGGCCACAAGTTTCAAAGGAGAAAAATGCAGGAGCGAAGATAACAGGGATCCTTCACCAAGAAAAGATAAGGCGGCAGTGAGAATGGGGGACGCAGCGTTAGTGTAAACAAAGGAAGGCAGAAATGCAAGAAGGAGGTCAGTGTTGCGGCAGCATTGAACTCTGGTGGCAAACTCCTTGGATTCTCCTTGGATTCTCAGGCTGTGGATCCTGAAAACAGGCTCGTCATTGTCACTCCGCCCACCTCCGAGTAGAAGCCACCACCAGCCTAGCCGAAGGGGCGCCCCCTGCTGCGCGCCCTGGGTCTTATTGGGCAACGTGAGGGAAGCGGAATTTGGAAGCGGACGGCGGGAGCGGAAGCCGCGCGTGCGCGTGCGCGTGCACGCTCGCGTTCCCAGTGCGCCTGCGCGCGGCAGGGTGGGCCCGGTGTAACCGCAGCCTGACTTGGCTACCGAAGCGTGGCCCATGGGCCGGGTGTCCGGTTGCCGTTCTCCTGAGGGCACCCTTGGCGCCCGGCGACGGTGGCACAGCTCCTCGGGGACCGCGCCACCCCCGTGGGCTGAGTGTCCCCCCACCAGCGGCGTTTCGGGACCTCCCTCTCCCGGCCCAAGACTTCTATGGAGTGGAGCAGACCACAGCCCTTGCCACCCAGGTAGGCGCTCGGTGTCCGGAGTGCGGGACCCAGGGCAGCGCAGGTACGGGCCCTCATCCTGCTCTGTCTACTGTGGCGGATACCGCTTTGCGAGCGACTGGCAGTGGACGCAAGACTACGAGAAAGAGGAGGACAGCTGTTGGCAGAGGAGGCTGAAGAAGAGGGAGAGGATTGGGGAGCTGGGCGCCCCTGAGGTGTGGGGGCTGTCACCAGAGCCTCCTGAGCCGGATTCCGATGAACAGACTCCATTTGAAGATGAAGTAAAACATCAGAAAAGCAGTGACTCAGAATCCAATCCCGAAGAAAAGAGGAAGAGGACCAGTTCGAAAAAGAAAAAGAAAAAGCCCTCTAAAAGAAAGCATAGAAAATATTCCGATAATGACAATTATTCAGAGACTGACACTAATTCCAGCTCTGATGATGATAAAAAGAGAGTTAGAAAAAGGAAAAACAAAAGGAGAAAAAAACATGAAACAAAATCCAAGAGAAAGAGTAAGAGGATGAAAAATATCAATGACACAAGTTGTAGAATTTCAGGAGGGAAGTTTCGAAAAAATATCTGGATTGAGCAATCAAAGACTGCAGATACCACGAGTTTATTAATTGGTCCAGAAGCCCCCATAGTGTGTACCTCGCAAGATGAGAAGCCTCTAAGTTATGGCCATGCTCTGCTTCCCGGAGAAGGTGCTGCTATGGCAGAATATGTAAAAGCTGGAAAGCGAATCCCACGAAGAGGTGAAATTGGATTGACAAGTGAAGAGATTGCCTCGTTTGAATGCTCAGGTTATGTCATGAGTGGTAGCAGACATCGAAGAATGGAAGCTGTCCGTCTGCGGAAAGAGAACCAGATTTATAGTGCTGATGAGAAGAGAGCCCTCGCATCCTTTAACCAAGAAGAGAGACGCAACAGAGAGAATAAGATTCTAGCCAGCTTTCGAGAGATGGTGTACAGAAAGACGAAAGGGAAAGATGACAAGTAAAGATATGTTTATTACACAGCACGACTTTTTACAACAGAAGTTTTATAAGATCACTTTATGCTTGGTATTATAATTCTTTACAGTGCTTTTTGTATTTTGTTGGCAGGTTCCTCAGGAAAAAGCTACTTTTTGAGATATTTAGCAATTTGGGGGCACATTGGTTTTTTTCTAAAGTAATATGTGCACATTTTTTAAAAGATGCAAACATTACAGGACTAGAGTTACTAAAAAGTGACCCTGTCATCACAATCCCTGAATACCTTCCCCAGAGAAACTTCATTTTGGTATTGTTCCTAATTTTGTGTGTATGCAAAGACATTTTGTAGAATAAAGCTGGCTTTGACTATTCAAACCCAACTGCTGATTAAAGAAGACAGGCTTTATCAATAAAATAAGATTTTTTAAAACTTAAGTATGGAGTACTAGCATCTTCTAAAGAATAAATTGGGGTCATTTAGATTATCAACAGAAAAATATGAGAAGGTACAAAGGAAGAGATAGCTGCAGAGATGATCAATATTGATCACATCAGCAGAAACTACATGGACAAGAGAGCATGGAGAGACTGGTTCACTGGTTCTAGGGATAGTTAAAGCGAGTGCTATGAAAAGTCTGTGTAAGGCTTTTGTTTTCATTTATTAATATTTTTCTGATAACAGACCTTAGACCTTAGTTTACCACTAAACCACACCCTACATCATCTCATTCGATAATCTGCTGTTCAAACCTCTGTGGTAAGATTCTCAGAGTTAAAATTGAGAAGTGGGTTTCTAGAATGAATCTGGTAGGACAGGGTAATGTAGAAGGACACCTTTGCCCCAGTGTGTCACATGGTTAACATGGGACCTTATCATCTTGAAGTTTTCCCCAATAGATGTTGGAGAACACTGAAGAAAACCACACTGTGACATCTGCATGTTTCCATTATAGTAAACTGCTACAGTATGCACAAGGATTGACGCTTTGTTCACTTAACAGTACATCTTGGAAATGTTTTTGGATTAGGACATAGAAATGTCTCATTTTTCTAACGATTTTATAGTACTACATTGTATGGAAGAACCATATTTCACTGAATGTTTATGATGTGTCCTATATTTGTCTGACACACAGTCTGGTTTTTAAAACCTTTGTGGGTATTAACCTGAAATACAATTATTGAATCAAAAAGAATTCTTCAAGTCATCTAGAAATGCTCACTTTGAAGAAGAATTACTGAGCCAAGGGGATAAAATTTACTTGTTGTTTTCTATGGTTTAGGCCCTGTGGAAGATATTGGAAATAAAGAACAAGTTAGTCTTGATCCCTGCCATTACAGAATTGTAATTCTGCTAGGGGAGATAGACTATAAAAAGTAATTATAACTTACAAAATGCAATGAGGAAAATATAATAAAAATGTAAGTGGAGTGCAATGAGGAAAATATAATAAAAATGTAAGTGGAGTTTTTATATGATTGTCTAATAAAATGAGATGCATCATGCATAGAGCAACAGGATCACCACACTGTTATTTTAAAATGCTTTTTCTTCTTGTTAACATGGTAGGTGAAAAGGCATTTCATTATTTTCATTTCTTTAAGGTAGAGTGTCCTTTGTGTAATTACTAGTAATTTTTACTATCCTTTTTTTTTAATTTTGAGCTGCTCATGTTATAACTTTGTCTTTTTGAGACAGGGTCTCACTATACAATTCAGGTTGGCCTTGAGCTCACTTTGTAGCCCAGGCTGGTTTTGAAATCACAGTGATCCTCCTGCTCAGCCTCCAAAGTGCTGGTATTACAGGCGTGCACTACCATACCCAGCTAACATAATTTTTATCTATTGTCTTAGTTGTTTTTCTCATGGCTGAGACAAAATATCCAATGGCCAAGGTTAAGGGAGGAAAGGGTTTATTTAGCTCACACTTTGTAAAGATTTCAGTCCACAATTTGCTGGCTCCAAAGCAGGGTGGTATCACAGTGGAGAGAAAGTTCATGGCAGGCAGAAGGTAGCAAAGCAACAAGGGATGATCACAGTTCTATCTATCCTTTATAGCTTATCCAGGCTACTTAGGATGGTGGCACTCACACTCTGAATTCTAGTGTCTTGATCCTAGCATTGCACCATGAATCAATCCCAGTATCACACACACTAGATCCAGCCACCTCTGCAAAAGCCCCACCTATGACTGCATGGGGCTTTGATGGGCATCTAAACATAAGCCATAACACTGATTCTTTTATAAGGTTTTCTTCATATTTATCATAAAAACTTTAGGGAATAAAAAGTTAGGTCTATATTACAATCTTGCAAACATTTTTTACTACTATTTGTCTTTTGAATTGGTTTTCTGATTATATTGCCCCATAAAGCCTAAAATTGTTCTTCACTATTAACCAAACAAATGTCTTTGTCTTTCTTGGAAGAAATGTGCAGTTGAGAAACTATGAATTTTAAGTGGTAAGCTAAGGTAAGATTGGTGAGTTTTTTCCCAAAAGGAAAAAGTACACATAATGAAACAAATACTGTCTGTAATACTGCTCCATAGCTCTTCTGTGGTACTTATACTTAAGTTGAAGAGGGACCTGGCCAGTAAATCTGTCTAAAAGAAATTTTGAAAATTGTCATTTGTGTTTTATCTTTGTCTTAGGGGACTTAATCAAAGGATTAAAACTTTTCCTTTCAAGTGTTTTTGCCCAGAATATGTCATTATGCATTGTAGAATGGAAGAAAAGCAGCATAAAATTCTAGCCCTGGCAGTGAATGAACGGCCAAGGAGTCTGCTCACCCCATGACTATAAAGCAAAAGGCCCTAGCTCCTAAAAGTTTCAACAGATCCTAGTGGTGTGGGTAGGTTGGCAATGAAATTTTGGCATGTGTGGGGCATTTAAGATCCAAACCAGAATACAGCATGAGTTTCAGAAGATGTGTAGGGAATTTAGGTTTACTACTGAAAATAAGGGAAGGTTTAGGGTTGAGATGTATTTATTTTTTGCTTTATAAAGCAAGTACCAGTTACTCATTTTATTGGGATTTTCCCCTTTCAGTGAGAAATATGTAGTGAAATTTTTGTTTGTATATTTTCTTGCTTTGTTTTTGAGAGTTTCATTGTGCAATTCAGGCTGACTTTGAATTCCCTATGTAGCTGATGCTATCTTTGAACTCAATGTGATCTTCCTGCTTCAGCCTCTCAAGGGCTGAGATTACAGGAGTGGGCCACCACACCTGGCCATATTAAGTTTATTAGATTACTTTTATGTTGGGAGCCATTGAAGCTGACCACATGTGCAGGACTGTAGCATGGCCAGGACACGACTGTCCCAAAAACAAAGAGCGTTGAGTCAGCCATGTGAAGAAGTTGCTACAGCCCAAAAAACAACCAGGCTTCTAGACAATCCCAGCAATGGGTTGCTAGGGAGTGGGGCTAAAATTGACATCATCCTTCCTAGTATAAAAATAATCATGCTACATTGGTTAAGCAGTACCTTTCCTCCCATTTGGAGAGTAAGGGCTCCATCTGATCCCAGCTTTGTCTCTTCATTTTCTCATCCTCTCCAGGTCCTTCATGCCAAGAACAAGGGCCACTTGGGTCGCGGCACTTTTATACATTTGTGAAAATCATGATTTATTAGCCCATTAACATGATGACTTAGTTACATATTTTCTAATATTTAACTGGGTTAAGTTTATTGAATTCACGTGTGTGTTTTTGGTTTAGAATACTGGCCGTATGATTTTCTGTTTCAAAGTTGATAGTAGTAAATGAGACCTGGCTGTAAGGGTAGAAGTGCTCAGAAAGCATCGTTATAAAAATGTAAGATGTATAACGCTTATGCCTGATTGCATGACTTACACTGCAACAGTGCATATACAGATGATATGAAAAGGAAGTTCTTATTTTAAATATCCCATAAATGGACCTGATGAAAACGTATAGATTACTGGAATTTATATTATTAAAGATAAAAAGTTTGGTAAGAAAAAAAAAGTCTGGTAATAGTAGGAGGAAAAGTCGGCCACGGTGGCACACTCGGGAGAATGAAGCAGGTTCAAGGCCAGCCTAGGATACACAGAGTCCAAGGCAGTCTAAATTACATAGTGATATCCTGCTTCAAAAATCAAAACACCAAAAGACACATAGGTAGTGCAGAAATACAGGTATTTTAATTTGATTTAAGTATAGGGAGTTAATGTCTTAAAGTCAGACACCCCTTTTTGTCCTTCAGGCCTGCTACTAACTACCCGTGAAACATACCTGCCTTGGATAAAATAAACGTTGGTTTAACGTGAAAAGAGCAATAGCAACAAGACTCCCGCAAACCAGGTGCTCCTGCCCTTTCTAAGTGGGCGGGGCTTCCAGCCCCCCCCCCCCGCCCCCCCATGGAGCGGAAGCAGGCACCATAGAGTCGTGGTTTTTTTCTAGCGTCCTAGAGGGGAGCGGAAAGCGCGCCGGGCTGCGACGTGGGGAGCGCTTGGCGCTCGGGTCCCAGGTGGGCTTGTGGGTGAGTTGGATCCGAGAGGCAGCCAGTGGGCCTTGGGAGTGGCCCGTTCTGGAGTGCGGAGAAGCTTTACCCGTGGAGCTGCCAGTAGGCACGGGCGCCGACGGGCCCAGCCGAGCGCCGCCGCTGTTAGAGCGGGTCTCACCGAGACACTGGGGGGAGGGGCAAAGCCCCGGGCGCCCTCGCGGGGATGGGCTTGGCGGGTGGAGGGCGGCGGGCGCGGAGCGCTGGAGGCCGGGAATTGGTCGAGGGGAGGCAGGTGGTACTGGGGACCGAAGCGTGGCGTTGCAGGGATGATTCCGAGCGATTCGGCGTAAGGGAGGCGGATAGGAAAAGACGTTATGTAGTGTAAGAAATTGGGGCTTTTCTTGGTTTTGGAGGACTTTAAGCATTGGAAAAGCGTGATCTGCCGTACGTTTACAACAGAGTATCTTTAAGTGGGAAGCCCTCACGGGAACAGACTGGGAAATAAAAGAGTGTGTTGGGTCTGTCACGTGATAAAAGGGGTCGTTTGGTAAAATCATGGTGCTGCTTTGCTTCTGGTTCAGTTGCCGAGTGCATAAGTAAAAGAAGGCGAAGATAAACCCAAGAAGGCTTACGGATAGAAGAGAAGAGTTGAGAGGTCTGAAGGGCAATGTGAAGATTAAGCCAGTGAATACAGGTAAAACGGCGGTGCCACCTTTTTTATTATTCTGAGAAACGAAGTGTTAGTGGGCATTAACAAGAAAGAGAACAGGTGTTTTTGGCAGAGGGGATAGGATGTGTAAGCACCCAGGAGCAAGCAAGAGTACTTTAAGTTTGAGGAACTAAAAGTTGACTAGATCATATGAAAAATTTAAAGCATATTAAATGTTTTGAATTTGTACTTAAGGCAGTGATGAGCCATTATGTATAATAGGCACAGCAGAGACTTAATGTCTCCTTTTCTGTTTAGAAAGACCACTGATTGCAATGTGCAACACAATTTGCTGTAACCGAAAGACTAGTGGCAGTAGAGAATAGAAAATGGTGGCAGAAGGGATGGGGATGGATGAATTTGAGGAAATCAGTGGAACTTGGGATTGATGAGGTGCATGAGATATGAAAGGTAGAGGCTCAGACAACTAAGAGGAAGGAGGTCTCACAGAAGACAGGTTATTAAGTTATTATACATTGTGTTGATATTTAATGGCATAGAAATCAGCCACCACTAATTCAGCATCATACTGTATATATTTACTTGTATTAGTCAAGGTTCTCTGGAGACAGAACCAGTATCTATATTGGACAATTGAGTGACTAATAGATATCTGGAAAAACTTTGTAATAAGAATTGTCTTATGTCATTATGGAAGATGGCAAGTCTCAAGATCTTCAGGGTGAGGTATTAAACTTGAGACCCAAGAGAGCAAATACATTAGTTTTCATTGAAGCCAAAAACCTGAGAACTTTGAATTTGGATGATGTTATTGTGAAGGCCAGAAGACCTAATACCATGGTCAAGTTTGAAGGCAGGACCATAAAGCGATTACTTCAACTCATAGGCCTTCAGACAGGAGGTCTTTGTCTTACTTGCGATAGAGTCAAGCATTATTCTAATTAAACCTTCAAATGAGTACACAAGGCCCATGGCACGATACAGGGCAACAGTCTACAGTCTATTGACTTAAATGTCAGTGTCATCCAAAAATGTGCAAACATCCAAAACAATGTTTGACCAGATATGTTGTATCTGTTGTCTAGATACACCTGTCCAGGCACCTGTTGTCCAGAGTTGAAAGATGAAATTATTACAATACTAAATTTCTATTTTTTAGCTAATAATCATCAATTTCTTAGACTTTTTCATCACTTTTAAGATTATTAGTATAAACTCGGGCATGACAGTGTGAAAATAAAGATATTAGCACTTTAAAAAATTTAAGTCTTTTAGATGGGGTTAGACAGGGTCTCGTGATATATTCCAGGCTGGCCTCAAACTACCTATAGTCTTGCCTCAGCTTTCTAAGTTCTGTGATTACAAGTGTACCCCACTACACCTGGCTTATTTCCTTTTTTAACAAAAATATAAGGACTCACCTGTAATCCCTGCAGCCTCAGGAGGCTGAGGCAGGAGAATCACAAGTTTGAGGCCAGCCTGGGCAACATACCAAGTCACTATACCAAAATTAAGAAACAATGCTTGGGATGAAGCGTAATGTGAAGGCCCTAGGTTCAGTCTGCAGTACCACAAGAAAAACAACAGCTGGGATTGTCAGTATGTGCACATCCAGAAGTGTATAACGGCAAGATGTTTGGTCCTAGCCAGGCACAGCCACTAAGAGAGTGAGCCTTCCATCTCATCGCCACCCCATGCACATTGTTTCAGTGACATTTGTCAGCCCATGGCAGATACTATGTCACTTCTTTGGAGACAAAATCCAGAGCACCAAAGACCTAGTGCAAGGGATGATGGTCAGTTACGTGAGTTCTGCCACAACAGCGCAGCTCTCAGAGTTGTGGGGTGAGGGGAGGACAATGAGGATGATGAAGATTGAGAAGTAAAGAGATGGAAAGCTGAGGTCAGGTGGAGCCCTCTCTGGATGGGAGGAAAGATGCTGCTCAACACAGTGGGTGTAGGCAGGTTGGTGCCATGTGACACCCCTTTGCCCTGCAACCCAATGCTTGGATTGCTTTGGGGCTTGGTATTCTTTGTGCTGAATCAGTTTGCCTGGGGCGCTGTTTGTTCTCACAAGGGTCTTGCTTACCCCGACACTTGTGATCAATTTCCAGCTTCAGCTGCTCCCTACAGAATTCTTCTTTTACATGTAGGGTAAAAGGAATAGGCAGAAGGAATTATAAGTCTTGCCACTTGAGCTATCTGGTCTCAAACGTAAGTCATTAGCATAAAGATAGTCACAAATATATTTATCTTCTACATTACCCTTTGTAATTTGTTCCCTTTTTGTCTTTCCATTCAGTATTTTTAGGAAAGAAGTATTTCTTTGTCTTTGTGTTTGTTTTTTCATTTTTTTTCCTATTTCCTATGGTGAACGGGCTAGTCCCCAATTCTGCTACTAACATGGTCTCTGCAGAGATCCAATGGTGTCTCTGTTGTTTTTTTTTTTTTTTTTTTTAATGCCCTGCCCCTCCTGACTGGTATCTCTGTTCTTAATTGAGTTTGTCAAATTTAGGTCATCCCACTTTCTTGGAGCATTGTATTCTTGACCACTGCCTCCTTATTCTACTGAAAAAATTAGTGATTTTTTTCCTATCCTCTACACTTACTCATTTACTCAAAATCTCTGTGACTTGAGTATGATCTTCATTTTACAAATGAGTGAACTAAGTCTATGGGAGCATAAGGTCATGTGGCTTTTAAGTGACAGGGCTGGTTTGGAACCCAGGCTTGCTCAAGGCCTAGAGCCTTTTGAGCCACCACACACTTAGAAAAATAGAGCTCACTGGTCTTCTGGATACTATCTTTGTTCTTCTCTCTAGTTCCTTTTCAGTTCTCTTCCTTACATACAAATGTTTCCCAGGTTTCCAACCTTGTGTAACATTTTCCCAGCATAATAACAACTATGCTGAAGGCCTAGCATTTCTGTTAGACTTCTAAAAATTCCTTTTCTGTTTCCCTTCTCAACTGAGATTCCTGTGGCCTGCCCCAGAGAAGTAGGCGCTTCACCGCACTCTGCCAGCATCGTGTGCCGCACTTCACAGTGGCACTTAGTTCACTGGACCATGTGGGTTACATGCTGTTGGCCTGCTCAGGGGGCCCAAGGGAGATATCGTAAGTGAGGGCCCAACATTAAAAAACACACGTGTGCAAGGCATCAGCAACAACAGCAGGCAGCATGGAGCAGAGAGAGGGCCAGAGCACAAGAGTGCTGTGCCTGTGTCTTTATTGTATGGCTTGTAATCTCATGTTTGGATTGTTATCTCATGTTTATGTTGTTACATAGTGCCATAACCAGCACATGAGTGTTTACCTGGCTACGTCTTGGTTATATAACCGTATGCCATGGTGCGCCTGAGCTAGACGCTGGGAGTATGTCCTCAGGTGACCTTAGATGCCCTTGAGCTTTGAAGCACTCTGAATGGTTCCCCACACTTATAATAAGCAATTACTATGGTATTTATAGCAAGCAATTATTTATAGGTAATTTATTATACCGAAGATTTCTTGAGCCAGGTGTGGTGCCACACACCTGTAATCCCAGCATTTGGGAGGCTGAGGCAGAAAGGTCACTAGGAATTTGAGGCCAATCTGAAGTATGTAGTAAGTAAAACCCTGTCTCAAAACAAAACAAAAGAATCTCCCACCAAAAAAAAGATTTCTTAAGAATCAGGAGAGACCAAGGAGTTGGCCTTTATTCTCAGCAACTCAGGGACTTTAGTCCACAGTAAATAGTAGATGAGTTATTAACATTCTTGTTCTGACACCAGCTTTAATGAACACATAAGCAGGTATACTTACTTCATATATCCGCCTACATGGATATACACATTTTGAGTTTTCAAATCATTGTAAGACTAGTCTGATCAGTACTTTCATGTATTAGCAGTTGTCAGTCTTTTGCTATATATGTTTTCTCTCACTTTACAAACTTATTCCTCCTTAGACATTTGGAAGTAAGTTTCGGCATGCATCTTCTGAGAAAAAGGCTATTTTTTTCCTGACCACAAGCTATTTGTGCACTTGAGAAAATTCTGTTTTGGGGTTGTTAGCCATTTTCTGTGAACAGCCAGATAGTAAACATTTTCAGCTTGCAAGTTGTGTGATCCCTGTGGAAACTAGTGCGTTCTGCCACGGTAGTGCAGCAGCAGATGTAATCACTATTTAAAGAGATTAGTGCGGCTGTATTATGTGAAGGAAACATAAAACCAAGATTCAGGTCCTGTATGGTTTTTTGTGCTGTAGTTTCCCTAAGGTATTCTGGCCCATCATTCACCTTCAGATTTCTGAATTCTTCAAAAAATATTAGTGGGCTTTTAAAACAAATTCACAGGTGGTATTCTGTTGTCTCTTGTAAATGAATTGCATTTGCATTTATCTTAGAACTTCCTCTTTACTGGATTCATGGTAAACGTTTTTTGTAGATGACAAGGCACATAATGTCAGTTGTCTACTGGTGTTTCTCCTTTTGGTATTTGGTTAAGTGTTTGACTATCAGGGAGCTCTCTTTCCCCTGTGTAATTAGCACCCAGTCAGTTGGTGGTTTTGGAGACGGAGAAAGTCCTGTGTTCTCACTCTCTTTACTCAGTGGTTTAGCAGTCATTTGTGGTCTTCACTGAGTCATTTATTTTGAGGGTTGTTGTAGATTAACTAAAGGTCAACTTGTAAAACCCAGCTGAACTGAGTCAGTCAGCATGGTGCAGGGTGTGGAAGGCCCCACCTGAGGATTGTTGCTAGCAGCATATAAAGAGAACCGAAGGGGCAGATGGAGAGTTGTTTGTCTTCCTGGAGAAGCTTGTTGCACTGGTTTTCCTGATATGAACTTGGCTATTCTCACCTTGTTATCGCAGAGGATGGCGATGGTTCTTTTTAGTGGAGCTCTGGTTCTTACCATGAGCATTCCTGGCTCCAGTACAGATCCCTCATTCTTCTGGCAGACTTTCTTCCACCACTGACCTGTGGGGCTTTCCAGAACAGGTTCTTGATACAGACTTCCACAAGACATTGTAGGCTCTAGGCCTCCGGTTGGACTTGTGGGAGGCATTGGTATGGGCTCCAAGTCTTCAGCGGGACTTATGCACGACATTGCCATGGGATCCAGGTCCTCAGCTTGATTCTTAAAGTCGCTAGTATATGAATAGATCTCCTACACTCTTTTACATTTGATTCTTTGGGTGAATATTATAAAACAATCCTATAAATTATGTATCCTGTAATCCTTTCCCTTGTAAACCTTGACTACAATAAGAGTTGAAAATGTTTGTTTTTAAAAACTGTTACACGAACTATGGTAGCTGGTAGTCTGCAGTAATAGTTTTCTAATTTTATGTGCTTAGAAAAAAGGCTGTTTTGGAGATAAGTGATTGGATAATGTAAATTTATAAACCTAAGAAGGGGTTGCTGCTATTGTTATTGTATGATTCTTGTTACTGTATTTTTAGGAGCAGCCTTCAGGAGACAGCCAAAAGAAAGTTATCCAAAGCAGAAAAACCAGCCTGGAGCCTAAGGATGGCTACCATGGTGAGTGTCCATTCCCTGGCTCCCTGAATCAGAGAGGGGAGCCTCTGGTCATGAAGGAAGATCAGTGCATTATTGGGGTCCTAGGCCAGAGGCCTGACCCTTGGGGTCCCAACAGGCTGGATTTGGGTGCCCACCACCTTGAGAGACAAGGCACCGTCAGGGAAAGACAGGTGAAACAGGTCAGGAATTTTTTGTTCAGAGTGGGCACAGAAGAAACACAGAAACCACTGTCTTAAGCCTTGCCTCATCAAAGCTTCAGCATTTTCAGGGGCAAGGACAAACATTGGGGGGCAAGAAGTATGCACACCCCAGCTGTTGGTCAGACTTGTCTGCTCACTTACGAACTCGGTTCTGGTTCTGTGGCAACATTTGCTGGCTTCGGATAAATCATTGCGGAGGTTGTTGGTCCTTGAGAGATGACTGCTTCTCCTTGGGGTGGGGGGCAGCCTTCATTCCCATCGTGGAGCACCCCTCCCACTTCGGGGAAAGGCTAGGTTCCCGTCATGGGGTGATCACTCCTGGCCTGGGGAGCGGGGTAGATCATCCTGGGATGATCTACCTTTAATACAGTCGTCTTGGAATCATACCTTGGTGTTTTTAGCCTTGAAGGGAGCCCAGAGGGGCTGGATAAATTCAGGGCTGATACTCCTTGAATGATTCAACATCTGTGTGTAGAGTCGAGCAGGAATCAGACTCACAGTTTAAAGTAGCAAAGGAAACAGTGGCAGGCCCAAGTAAAGATCCATTGCTTTTAGCAAAAGCAACCTGTAAGTTCCTGTTACAACTACTCTGCTTAGGAACAGGGACTCCAGCTGCAAGGAAGCGGCACAGGCATTGGACAGGCACCATTGTGCAAGCAGTTCAGGCAGTTGCGTTATGAAGAAACTGCAGGACCCCGGGAGGCGCTGTGCCGGCTCCGAGAGCTCTGCCACCAGTGGCTGCGGCCTGAGACCCACAGCAAGGAACAGATCCTGGAGCTGCTGGTGCTGGAGCAGTTCCTGGCCATCCTGCCTGCGGAGCTGCAGGCCCACGTGCAGGAGAAGCATCCTGAGAGTGGGGAGGAACTGGTGGTCGTGCTAGAGGACTTGCAGCTGGAACGTGGAGGAAAAGAACAGCAAGAGGTAAAGGGCAGATGTGTTCTTCTGCAGGAGAGCAGCATCGAGGCTTCTGTCCAGACACGTGAAGTTAAGCACAGAGTGGGTGGAGAATTGCTCAGCTTTGGTTCTGTTTCCTTTAACCTTACCTAACCTGTTCTGGGAGAAGATGAATGTGCTCCAGGTTCCCTGTTTCCCCCTTTCCCTTTTGAGATTTCTCTTTGATCCCTTTCTGATGCTGAGCTGTTTATCTGAAGGATGATGTCCTGAACCCATGTGTCCACGTACCTCATTGTCTCTAGGACCCAGACCAGGAAAAGCAGCAGTCACTGCTTGTGGAAGCGCCAGAGCCTCTGGGAGCAGAGCAGGTGAAGCAAAGCCTGCCTGGGTATGAAGGTCCGAAGCCTAAAGAAGAGCACGGTAAGACGCGGGCTGCCTCCGAATGTGAGGCCCTCTGAGGCTCTGCCCAGCATATGTGCAGTTTCGTGTTTTGCTTTGGGTTTAGGTTTTTTGAAGTGTAACTTATGTCAGCAAAAATGTGCTCTTTGAATTAGCCAGTGAGTTTTCACACATGTATAAGGAGAACGGTCCTCTAATCAGCGCCACAATCAAAATATGAAAGAAATCCATCACTCAAGCCTTTTAGTTCAACAAACACCAAGGAAAGGTGAAGCTAGATCCTCACTGTAATGGTCTTCCCTTTACTGTAGGATAAATTTTTAAAGTAAAAGAGATGGATATAAGTATGTAATGTCTATGTATAGAAAGGCCACAATGAAGCCCAATATTCTACAATTAATGCACTAATAAAGAGGAAGAAAGGCCTGTTGGGCCAGGAATATAGCTCAGCAGCGTAAGAGCCTGTCTATCAAGTGGAAGGTCCTGAGTTTAATTCTCAGTACCAAAAGAAGGCTTTCTCCCCAAAAGCAAAGAATTTCAGCCCACATTTTATTACTCGTTTTTTTTCATTACTTATTTTTTCTTATCTCTTTCAAGTTACTATAAATCACTTTTTTACTTCTAAATGTCACTTGGTTTTTAAAATTTATTCATTTATTTTTGTTCTGTCATTTATTTGTCACCGAAAGCTATCTTTTCACGTTCTGTTCCTTACATGTTTCTTTTTTTCTTTATGGTCTGGTACAATACCCGTTTCTTGCTCACTCTCTTTCTCTTTCCTGTCATCTTGGTACTTCCACAGAAGTTCATTTACCTCCTGTTCTTTCTCTATCATTTAAAAACAAATTCATTGCCAGGCGTGGTAGTGCACACCTGTAATCCTTGCACTGGGAAGGCTGAGGCAGGAGGATTGCTGTTGAGTTTGAGGTTAGCCTAAACTACATAGTGAGTTCAAGGATAGCCTGGACTATGTAGTGAGGAGACCGTGTCTCAACAAACAAACAAACAAACAAATTCATGAATGTTTCTTTAACCTTTAACTGAGCTTATTGTTACCCTTTCTACTTTTTTTTTTTTTTTTTCTTTTTTGGGAAAGGGACTCACTATGTGATCTAGGCCAGCCTTGATCTCTATGTAGTCCATGCTGGCCTTGAATTTTTGATATTCCTGCCTCAGTCTCTCAAGTGCTAGGATTACATGCATATATCACTGCACCCAGTTTGGCTCTTCTGATGTTTGAAAACTTCCATCATTAAACTAAGAAACAAAAATAAGAAAAAAAGTCATTATACATAGCAGCTCCCAGTCCCCATCACCAAAGACCTCACCCAGCTTTCTCTGACACATCCTTTCCCTCAGCCTTGTGTTCACCGGCATGGACAGTTGGTCCCAGGCTTTCAAGCCTTTTAACAGAGATGGTTGCACTACTGTCCCAGATTGGGACAATTCCTTGTCCTGTGTCTCGCTGTCTCACACTGGGTGTTCCTATAGAATGCTGAGCTACATTTCATTTGCTTTGTGCCATTTTGCTGTTGTGAGCCTCCTGCCTTTTTGCCCTTACCTGTAACTGATTCCCCTACTTCTTGACCAATTCCTACTCAGCATTCAAGACCTGTCTTAACTTTTATTTCCTTTAGCCTTCCCTGGGTTTGTTTTCCTGCCTATGCTCCTAGAGCTCTAGGGTTTCTCATACTGTGTAAATGTTCACATTACATGTCATGCTGTACTTCTTTTTTTCAGATCAAGCTGAAAAGGCAGGGCTTTGTTCTGTTTCCTGAGGCTGCTGAATGTCTATGATGAATGACTGATTTTATTTGTAAATCTATCTGTATTGCTCTCAAAAGTCCAAATTCAAGGTCTCCTGTGAGACTCAAAGCAAATTCTTAGCTGAATGAGATGTGGTGGGGATGGGGATGGAAAATGTAGTGACATGAGGACAAGCACTACTTCGCAGCTCTGTCTGAACAGTCCCTGATGTTCTCTTCTCAAAGTAAAATCTTCCTAAGGAGTGTACATTTTTATACCTATCCTCCTTACGAGTGCGATACAGCCAATTTTTGAGATGTTGTCAAATCTTTTCTATTGCCCTGCTGCAGTGTGCTTGACCTGGTTTTAAAGGTATTCATCTCCATAGCAACCCCACACTCCTTTGTTCCAGTTTTACATGTTCTAGTCAAACTGCAAGTTTTTCCCACTGTTTTTTTTTTTTTTTTTTCCTGTCTTTTTCATTTTTATCGGTACTGGGGATCCAACTCACGAATGCCTGCTTGCAAGGCAGGTACTTATGCCGCTGAGCTAAATCCTCAGGCTCCCCACCCCACTTTTCTAATTGCTTTTTTACTCCTGTTTCTCACTATAAATCTGGCTAAAAACACAACAGTATTGCATTGTCTTGAAATTTTCGCCCCCAAATAGATTATTCTGTCACCTTTAAATTTAGCTTCCCATGAATTCTCAGAGCATAGCTAAACTGTAGACAAGTTCTTTGCCAGAGGTAACACATAGGACCTCTAGTGCAGTTCCCAATAGAGTCCTTATTACATGTACACTTTTCCGTCTGCATTTCTTCAGCATTTTGGTCTTCAGAGCTCATACCAGAATTTACCCATTAGGCAGCACTTTAGCACTTTCTAGGGTGCTTATTCAAATATTTCCAAATTCCTGTCACAAGACGGTTCCAAAGACTTTTGAACCACTATGTCATATGTAGTCACAGTAACAACCTGACCTCTTGGTACTGATTCTGTGTGTTAGCTTCTGGTGCTGTGACAAAATACCTGAGATAAACAATTAGAGGAGGAAAGTCTTTAATTCATGGTTTTACAGTTTTCAGTCCATGATCCTCTGGTGTCTTTGTTTCTGGGCCTGTGGGGAGGAGAATCTGGTGGTGGAGAGTGTGCTTACCTGTTGGAGGAGAGGACACAGGGGGAACCAGATGTGCCTCTCAAGGCATTCCCCCAGTGACTTCCAACCAGGCTCGCCTCTTCATTTCCAACACCTCCCAGTAGCCCCTTAAGCCAGCAACCAAGCTTTCAACACAGGAGGTTTTTTGGATTTTTACAGTCCAAACCATAACACCATCCTTTACCTTCTGCCTACTTTCTTATGCCTTAGAGTCTATTTCAAAGGTCTGCTGCTTTGGGGAGCCTTTGAGTCAAGTGGCTGGGAAAAAAGGGGCTGACCTTTTCTGAAACTTTGTAGAGTGAATGTAATACTTGCTATAATTCTTTGTGCAAGTGTTCTTTGTCCCATGAATCTGGTGAAAATGTTATTTTACATGAAGTTCAGTTATTTTTGGGTTTCCAATGCTCCTCCTCCTCGTTAGTTATATGTCAGTACCACAAAAGGACTTTTTACTTCTTTCCCTGGGTTCTTCACTTCCGCTAGTGTAGACCACTCCTTTCCGAGGCCGAGGTTGTTATCCAGGGTACATGTTGGTGTGCCTGAGCTCGCTTTCCTCACATGTGACTGGACTCTCTGATGTCTCCTTATCAGTCTTTCACTCTATGGCTGTCATCGACTCCTTATTATCTGCTACCTCTATCTTGCTCATAGTGATGATTAGTTTATTAGTACTACTTAGCGTCTCCTCTTCTGATTGTTCTCCCCTCTACCCATATTCCTGTCTCATTCTTACACCACGTCCTGGTTACACCTTAAAATTGGGCCTTAAAATGCAAAGCCCAGAAGCCCATTCTTCTCACCTTCTGCCTGTGTGTCTTGAGTACGTTTTTCTTCATTGTCAAGTAATTTCACTCTTCAAACGTAAGTCATGTGGTCATCAAACAGTTGTTTAGTGTCTCCATTTGTTTATGTATCAGGAACTGTGCTGGAGAGAATAAAGTATGCTCTGTTTGTGCTTACAGTCTCCTGAGGTGTACTAGGGTTGTGATTAAAGGAGTCAGACATCAGAAAAAACTATTACAGCCTTGAAAGGGGAAAGATTTCTTGATCCACCTCGGAAATATCAGGAAAAACGCCAAGGTATTTTTGTGAACATGTTACCCTCAAGATTTTTTCGTCTCATATTTTTAGATATATTGAAGAAAACACTAAGTCCAGAGATTTGTTACTTTTCTAAGATCACATACATACCAGTAGTCAATAAAATTGCTACAGTGTCAACATTTTTTCATTCTTAAAAGTCCAAGGGTCCCAGGGTCCTGGACCCAGCTTTTTATTTTCCATGTGACAAGTTAGTTTCAAAACTTATAGTCATGCCCTTCAAAATAGTTGGTTTATTTGCCTAGAGTTCCTCTATAGGTGGTGTGTATCACATGGTAAAACTTAAACACTGAAAATAAGTCAGAGCTGGACATGGTGCACGTGCCTGTAATCCCTGCACAAGGAGGCTGTCATGAGTTCAAGGCAAAACCTTGGCAACATAGAGAGTTCAAGGCCAATTTGGTCTACATAGCGAGACTGTCTCCAAAAAAAGAAAGTCACTTCCAAGCATAACCCCCCAACTTCCCCCAAAGTAGTTACTGTTAACAGTGTCTTGTATATAATTCTGTATGTGGAATACAAGCAACTGTAGTAGTTTTACTTTACATGACTGGCTTTATTTATCATTTTTCCACCTAGTTGCAGATTCCTTCCTCAGGCACCAAAACCCCAAGTAACTAGTGATACACATTTAATGTTTCAGACGAAGAGATACAGATTGAGAATGTAAAGCTTGTAATAACAGACTCTTGTGGAACAGAGGAGTCATCCACAAAGGAAGATGAACCCAGAGAGGCTCATTATGAGGGTTCTAACTTGGAAAGGCAGCAGGGGGCCAAGCCCCAGCACTCAGACTTGATTGAATACAGAAGCACACCGTCAGGCGGAAAACTGTGTGATTCAGAAGTGTGTCAAAGTTCTACACTTAGTGGACATCAGAAACCCCTCTCCAGAGAGAAAGGCCACCAGTGCCAGGAGTGTGGGAAAGTTTTTCAGAGGAGTTCACACCTTGTCAGACATCAGAAAATACACCTTGGTGAGAAGCCTTATCAATGCAAAGAGTGTGGGAAAGTCTTCAGCCAGAATGCAGGCCTTTTGGAGCATCTTAGGATCCATACTGGAGAGAAACCTTTTCTGTGTATCCATTGTGGAAAGAACTTCAGGCGCAGCTCTCACCTTAATCGACACCATAGAATTCACAGTCAGGAGGAACCCTGTGAGTGCAAAGAGTGTGGGAAAACCTTTAGTCAGGCCCTGCTTCTCACACACCATCAGAGAATCCACAGTCATTCCAAAAGCCATCGGTGTAACGAGTGTGGCAAAGCCTTCAGCTTGACCTCGGACCTCATTCGGCATCACAGGATTCACACTGGGGAAAAGCCATTCAAATGTAAAGTATGCCAGAAAGCCTTCCGATTAAACTCACACCTCGATCAGCACATCAGAATCCATAATGAAGAAAAGCCCTACAAGTGTAGCGAGTGTGGAGATGCCTTCCGGCAGAAGTCAGGTCTGTTTCAGCATCAGAGACATCACCACAGGGGCAGACTGGCTTGATGAGTGTTCTCTGCATATACAGAATCAGAAGGAACAGAGAAGCAAACAGCATGCTAGCAAGTCTCTGGCCAGCTGGAAAATGCTCCAGGGCCAAGTTGGAAGCCTTCTGCCTCCCCTCTTTGCTCTTTGTGTTCCTTGAAGCTGGCCTTGGCCCACAATAGACAGCCCTGTACAACCAAAGCCCAACAGCAGTGCTCACTACAGGACTTCGCAGAGGTGTTAATGTGATCATTGGTGGGCTGTGTATCTCCACATAACCTGTACTCTTTGAGAACAGCAGCCAGTCAAGAATCCACAAAGACTGATGCAAAACAAGGGAAGGGTGATACTTTAGATACTCATTTTCCCTGCTGGCTTCACCCTCCTCCCTTCTGCTGGCTCTACCTCCACACTCCCTGTGCACAACCAATGGAAGCATTTTGGAAAGCAAAGTTGAACTTTTCTGGTTAACTGTAGTACTTGTCCTCATGTCACTACATTTTCCATCCCCATCCCTACCACATCTCATTGTTTCACGTTACAAATCAGAATGTTACTTAGATTATGGAAGCGATTTCGTGAGTGATTTTGAGTGAATTCTGCTAAATTAATCCAAGTAGCAACTAACTTGATAACTCCAGTGCTGACATAGTGACTGTTGCATAGACACTGTTCAGGAAATGTCAGTGGAAGAAGTCTGACTTCTTTTAATATTAGGGATGCAATTTTTGAATGTTGCTTGATTTGGAATTTATTGAAAGTCACAATAAAGTCAGCTGGGAAAGAAGGTCGTTATTTCTATCAGTAACAGCATGTTAATGATTAAGCAAATTAAGTCAGCTCCCAAGCACATGTGGACAGTGAACACTGCTTAAGGGTTGGCAGTAGTTGTGTAGGGTACTGTGCCTTGAAGACAACTTCTTAGTCTACTAATGTGGGAAGATCCTCATAGTGATTAGAAGTTCAGCTGCATGTATCTTAAAAGTAAGAAAATAAGAGAGACTTCATAGAATTTTTCCTTGCTAATAGGGTTGGAAACAATCAGGGCAATAGTGATGAGATGGTTCCATGGTATCACTAGGGTCTGAGTCTTTTGCTGCCCTGCTCTACCATTCTGGTCCATGCCAGCAGTTTTGAAGACCCTCGCATCCTTGATGGCTGCTGAAGCTCCAGCCATCACATGCAACATGTGGAAAAGCAGCAGGACAAAAAATAGACTTGTCCCAGTTCTGTCAGCTCTCTGAGCTGCCTTCTCAAAAATCATGTGTCTCTAGCCAAAACTTTGGGAAAGAAGGCAGGAATTTTGACAGTTAGGACATTTATACCATCCATAGTCATAATTGCCAAAACTTAGAAGAAAGCTAGATGCCCTTCTGTCGGTGAATGTATAATTAAACAGAACCAATTTTTTTTTGCCAGAATAGTGTCACACGTATAATCTCAGCTGCTTGGGAGGTTCAGGCAGGAAGATCGTTAATTCAAGCCCAGCATAGGCAATTTGGTGAGACCCTATCTCAACAAGTAATTACTTCCCCAGTACCCCAATAAACAAAACCACCTGAGCCTATTTTCTAGAGTGTTTTCTATTTTTACTAATGAATTGAACATATTTTTACATGTTAATTGATCATTTACAGAGGGGATTTTGTGGGTTGCATCCTTTACTGGCTTTGTTTCCTCTTAAGCAGCAATGCCTTTAAAAATACTGTAAATGGGGAGCCATCAAATTTTAAATACATGTTTTTTGGCAGTTCCAGTATGTAATATCAAATATATATATAAAGAATGTAGATACTGAATGATGTTCCCTATCGTATTACTTATAAAGAAAAAGTACAGCTGTGCATAGTGACATGTACTGTGACCTCCACACTCTGGGACGCTGAAGCAGAATCCCAGGTTTACCAACTTCAGCTAGCTCTGACCTCAAAAAGGAGGGGGCTGGGGGTGTGTAGAGGATAGAGGAGATATCACAAATTCTCTTCAGTAGGGATAGTTAAGCATTGTAATACACCAGTATACAGTACACTTCACCTCTTTAGAGCAAGTTGGTATGTGGAAAAAAAACATTATAGACAGCTAAGTTAGGAAATACCGACAGTCAGAGCCAGGCCCTCCACAGTCAGGCAAGAATGAGAACACGTCACAACTGTGACTGGGGGGCCTAGCCTCAAAGACAATGACCCGGCCTGAGGTAGGTGGTAGCACCTTGTCTAATTCAGTCTAGGTAGATGTCACTCTGGTGGGTGACCCAGACCCTCAGACTCATCCGTCCCTGTAAAGTTTTTGTGCTTTACATGTGTACTTGCTATGTGTCTGGCCTTCCCCATTAGATCAGTGTTACTTGTATGGGTTAACTGTAGCTGTACCCTGCATTGTGTTCTGGTTGTGCTTTATAAAACATGGAAGAGGGCCGGACTTTCCCTGAGAAATGGGATCCTCAGCAAACCACCCTGAGCTCTTGTCTCTCTGGAGCTGTATCTCTTCAATAAACATTTCCTAGTCTTAACGTCCGTTGTTTATAGAATTCATCGTTCGATTTTGGGGAGCACGAACTGGGTATCCACTAGGTAGTTACAGTTCGCTTATATGTGGAGGTCCTATGTAATTTCTTGTATCTATCATGATCCTGAGTTGGCCTAAGATATATAGGTACCCATATTTATTAACAGAAATGTTTATTGAATACTATTATGTGGTACTACCCTGGGGGGATTCTGAAAGTACTATTAACAGTGATTACCTACGGGAAGACACATTTTGTCTTCATGAAACCTGAATTATCCTTGTGAGTAAAATTTGTGTAATTTACTCCATTTCAGTATTGCTTTAGCTCTTCCCCCAGCCCGTGAGAACCCTAGCAGATTCAACTTTGTCTTCTCATCCCACTCGTTTTTATCTGAAACAATTTGCAGAAACGAGGGTGTGCGAGGCCCCGCAGGAAGGGCCCATCCAGAGCTACTGGGCAAAGGCCCCTCTCCCAGCGTATCACAGAGGCGAGGGCCAGGCTGCTAGAGAGGCAGAAGGCCACCGGAAGCCGCCGCAGTGCTAGAGACCAGGCGACAGGAAATATCTTTGCGTTCCACATATACACGCCCCTCCACCGTCGCTGCCGCCGCCGGAAGTGCCCCTCTGCGCCCAGACTGGCTATGGAAGTGTCTCTATGGCCTCACCTAGGAGAGATGCCACTCACGGCCCCGCAGCAGGACGTGCCCTCAGGTTTGAGTGTTGCCCCTGGCATCTCGGCACAGCTACCAGAGCTCAGCGAGAAGTCTAGCAGTGTTTGCCGAGAATCAGGTACGCGCTGGTGGGAGTCCCAGAAAACCCCAGTCAGCAAGGTACTGGGATGGGGCGCAGTGGTCAGTATTGCGGTGCGGGGACGGCGAGAGAGGTGAACGGTACATTTTCCCCTTGTACAATAGGCTAGAGGAGGTCAGCGGCGATTATCCACGTCCAGAGCAGTTAGGTTTGCCCTGGGATTTAGAAATTTGCATTAGGGGCGCTGGGGATGTAGCTCAGCGGCCTGCCTGGCAAGTGTGAGGTCGTGAGTTCGAGTCCCAATACCAAAAAAAATTGCGTTAGAAGTATGATCCGGCCGTGAAACAAGTAGGTGGGAAAAAATTGAGTAACGTCAAAACAAGGCAATGACAGAAATTTCCTAATACTGTGATTTTCTTAAAGCAGAGGACCATATCTTTTGTTGCAGGTCTAGCTTTAGTCCTGGAAAATGAAGTGCACAGTAAATTGAGTGACAGACCAGGACAATCACATAAAGAGCAGATTTCGAGGAGTTTGAATTAAATCCAATGAGTATTTGAAACTTTTGGGGGGGAAGTTTCTGTGGGAGTGCACAAGAGTCAACATTTAAGACTTTACTGTCCTCAATAGGTGCAGTGATTTCCCCCGTCCCCCAAACAAGAAATTAATGGGTTGTGGCAGGGAAAAAACTCCCACTATGTTACATGTCAGATGTGCTGGGTTCGTGGTCGCACAACATCCAGGAATTATCAGTCGTCATGGGCTGGGTCTCAGGGTCCCTGAGGTGGAAATAGAGTTTAGCCCGCCCCTTTAAAACACATAATCAGGTTTGGTGATTCTTGTCACGGAAAAAGGATTTTCAGGACATGGTTGTGAGAAGGATAGCACTACTCCAGGGTGATCAGCAAGGCACCTCAGTTGGGAACTGAGGATTTTTTATGTTTTAGGAGGTGGCGATCTATGGAATTTGATGATCTATAGTCTTGGGCTTAGTTTTAGTCTTAGTGGATCTGATAGGGTGGCCCACCCCTAGTGAGATCATTGTTTCTATGGAAAGTGCTGAAAGGGCCATCTATTCCTAGGTGAAAGCGGACTGTTTGCAGGTAAAAATGAATAGGCAGATCCCTTTGTAGCTGAAAGGGACTTGCCCAGGTTTGCTGTTCTGGGAGAAGAAAAAAACAGTAAATAAAATGGGGCTTATGTTCCAAGGCTGCAGTTTTTCTTTAAAGTACAAGTTTTTAAACCTCGATTTCCTTGTTTACTTTCTACCCACCTTATTTCTTCTGTGCTACATCACAGTAAGGTCGAGAACCAGAGGAGGTTAGGAAAGTTTTTCTGGAAGTAAGAATAGCTTCTGGATTTCCAGGAGGGGTCTCAAGTGGGTGGATGCATGGCCTCTCAATCCAAAGCTAATTATAGGTAAGCAGAGCACAGGAATTGCTCAGTTGTTTAGTGGCCACCTAATCACAGGTGGCCCAATGGACTTAAAATTACCAGTTGGAACTTGGGCTTCTAACCCAGTTCCTAGCATACAGGATTTAAAGGAAACTGGGATTTTAGAGAAAAAACTCTATATTTTGCATTTTAAAGCCCTCAAAACTCAGGAGTTTAACCAAGTGGCTGCATCTCCCTTTAGGTAGTGGGGGTGGACTGCATTCCAAGTTGCCTCAGGAAGTTCATCCTTGGACAAAATTCAAGATCACTGTCTATTCTTACTTTTAATTTTTATCAATATGACTGGCCACCCACTATCTCAGTCGACTCCAGCTGGCTTCCTTATTCATAAGCTAACTAAATGAGTGCAGATTCAGAGCAAAGAAAAATAGATAATACTTTTTCATCCTGATGAAAGAGTGGCACAGTATCGCGGTAAAAATCACACTGAAAAGAATTTGAGGATAGACTTTGGAAATAGTCTACCACACCTACATTAAAGGCAGGCACCCTTCTCTCTGTGTAAAATTATTCCTTTTTTTTTTTTTTTTTTTCTTGAGACAGAGACTATGTTGCTCAAACTGGCCTTGAACTCACTATGTATCCTAGGCTGACCTCAAACTTATGACCATCCTGGTGCTTTGGCCTCCCAAGTGGGGAATAGGGGTGCTGGGGAATTGTAGGCATGTGCTTCTGTGCATTCTTCTTGTTAACTCTTCTTCCACTGTCCCCTACCTCCCTTACCTCTGGGTTTGGCCTCTTCACATTCATGATCCACTCCTGATTGGTTGCATTTATAATAGGGGCAAGCCAGTCAGCTTTTGAGTGTGACCTGTAACTGCAGACAAACATACCACATAGGGCTTTGGAGCTCTGATTTATATATTGTGAATCAATTGTTAGAGATACATTTGGCAAAATGTTTCTGAAGTATAAACCTCAGCCAAGTGACTTTTTCTCTGGCTTCTAAGCTCAACATGTGTGAAAATGAAGACAGCCTCCTGAAAGTCAAAGTAGAAGATGATGCCTGGGAGCGGGCATGTGACTCACAGCACAGCTCCCATTTGCAAGAACTCTGCCGCCTGCAGTTCCGGCAGTTCTGCTACCAACAGGCTCTTGGGCCCCGGGAGGCTTTGGCTCAACTCCGAGAGCTCTGCCACCAGTGGCTGCAGCCTGAGACCCACAGCAAGGAGCAGATCCTGGAGCTGCTGGTGCTGGAGCAATTCCTGGCCGTCCTGCCCACGGAGCTGCAGGCCTGGGTGCAGATGTATCCTCTGCAGAGCGGGGAGGAGGCCGTGACAGTGCTAGAGAATCTAGCAGCTGGACATGGAGACACAGGATGGCAGGTGATGACTGGGGTGGTGGGGAAAGAAATGAAGGATGTGCACCTCTTAATTTTTAACTTTTTATTTTGAAATAATTTATGACTTATGGATGTGTTAGGAGAATAGAACTCCTGTGTACACGTCAGCCAGATTTGCCAGGTGTTAACACCTGTGATGTGTCACACCCTGTGCTCTTGTGAAAGCAGATTCTTTCTGTGTGCAGTGTGTATGAACCTTTCAAAATTAAGTGCATTCATTCTGTCCCTTTATCTTTAAACACTTTGTGTTTATGTCTGAAGAGAAAAAGCTTTCCTTTATAAAACCAAAATGCAGTTAAGATAGTTATGCTACTGATTTCTCCGAGTTGACTAAAGAGAAAGATGTGTGCTGATATCGTTCAGACAGTTGAATGCAGATGTCTTGTCCGCTGGGCGAATGATCTGGGGATGACAGTGTGCAATGCAGTGTGCATTGTTGCCCTGATTGACATGTTTTGAAATTTTGTTGTAGTCTTCTTCTTTTTCTTTCTTTTTATCCTTGAATAAAATGGATGTGAAAAAAAAAAAATAAAGTCATAACCAAAAAACAATTATCTAGTTTAAGGAAATTAAGTAAAATTATCACAATTCTGTCATATAACCCTAATCCTGGTCACATTTTGCTATATTGCCTCATTGCTGTTCTCTGTAACAGTATTTCCCTTCTGGAAATAAGTCAGCGTTACATTTAGTTGCTGTTTCTCATGGCTAGGTCCAGATTGAACATCACGAGAATATCTACCATAGAGGTAACATCATGTTCTCGGGATGAACATTCCTGATGAGGTCCTGGAAGTGTCTGTCAGATTGCCTCAGTGACAGTTCTCATTTCCCCTTCTTACCATGTGCAACTCGTGGGAGACACGTTGAGACAGTGCACATGTCCGGTCCTCACTAAGCCTTTCCCCACTGCTTCAGGCATCCTGGCTTTTTGTGTGTTCTGGGCAGGGACCTTTGCCTTTTTTGTCTGCCTTGCTGTAGCGTGGTAGCCAGCTGCTTATCAGACACTCAGTCCTTAGTGCCAAATGAGTGAATCAATGAATGTGTGCACTTGTTCCTGCCTTATAGGACTGAACAGAGCTTGTTCTGTGCTCCCCTGGGGAAGTCCCTAACTGTTGTTTGCTCTGGTTCCCACCAGGATGCCTTTTCAAGGTGAATCTTTTTGTCTCCAGGCCTCTTTCTACATTCAGGGACAGGATATGCACCTAGTGGTGACAGACTTTGGAGGAGCCTCTCTAGAGAGTCAGAACCTCCAGCTCCTGCCTGGGGTAACCACCCTGCCAAGCGAACCTCCACAGCTCCCCCAAGAAGTGAGTGGTGAGTGCTACAGGGTGTGTTAATGAGGACCAGGAGCAGGCCAGTGAGAGACACCACTTCTTAGTAGAAAGTTGGTTATCTGTGTCCCGCAAGTTGTGTTTCTTATTTTTGTGTACACTGTCAGATGATTCTGCCAGCTGCTGAACATGTCTCTCACCTCATAGTCACATGTGTACTAAGCATACTTGACATCTACTCTCTGCAAGAGCGAAGTGTGAAGCTGGGCATAGTGACACGCACCACTTTCAGAAAGGCTAAGGGAGGAGGGTGGACTGCTTGCCCAGAAGTTCAGTACCTGTGTAATCCTCAGAGAGATTATCTCATTTAAGTTTAAAAAATGTCAGGTACACAGTATAGGGGCTGGGGATTTAGCTCAGCGGCATAAGCACCTGCCTTGCAAGCAGGCAGTCGTGAGTTCAATCCTTGGTACCGATAAAAACGAAAAAGACAAAAAAAAAAAAAAAAGTACACAGTATATCAGTATGTTAACTTGCTCTCTCTTTTGCGGGGGTGGGGAGACAAAGTCTTGCTGTGTCAAAACAAAGTCAGGCTGGCCTTGAATGCACTAGGAAACGTAGCCTGGCCTCAAACTTGCAGTGGTCCTCTTGCCTCAGCCTTCTTAGTGCTGTGATTACAGGCCTGCGCCACCATTCCTGGCTTACAGTATATTAACTGTAGTCTCTATGTCATATATTTGGTCTCCACAACTTATTTTATAGAACTTCAAGTTATGTCTTTCTCCACAACATCTGTAAGATCAGAATGATTCAAAAGTAGACCATCGTGGATTTTGTGCTGCACAGCCCAAAGCAAAGCACTCATTACCAGCTTCTTCCTCCTCTCTTTTTATTTACACGTATGATTTTTATTTTGCTTTGTATGTGTAAAAAGGCATCATTAAGCAACTTGTAAGTTTGTAAATGCCACTCAGTTTTATGAGTGGGAGACCCTAAAATTTTAGAATCTTTGCATTCTTGATAGAATGAAGAGTCACAGTGCTCTTACCTCAGACAATAAGGTCTGCTTTGGACATTTGGACAATGAGGTCTAGTTTGGACATTTAACAAATGCAAGGTTTAGGGTGCTGGGTCCCAAAAAGGATACTTCCAGAGTCTCCCATGTCTCACATAGGATTCTTGACTCCTCTGTCCAGGGTTTGCTCCCCAGGGACCCGCCTGTCTCCAGGAAGAACACTCGAGAGAGAAGGCAGAAGTGGCTGAGTGTAGCCCGCCCCAGACCCAGGTGAGCAGACGACAGTATGGGAACATCAGTGCCGTCCCGCCTTCACCTGTCCACACTCCTCAGCTGAGAGCCTTTCCGATGCACTGGTCCTCCGTGTGCACACTGTCACAGAACGCTGCAGGCAGCTCCTGTTGGTCTCCTCTTCCCTCCTCTTCCCGTTATCTGCGAGGCACCCCCCCCCCCCAGGTATGAGAGCGAGGGCTGGGGTTTGGGCTTCGGGCTTCAGTTCCAGGAAGTGCCTTCCCTCATTTGATACAGAATGATTGATGATTTCTCTTTTGGGGTCTTCAGTTTCTCTCTCTAGCCTGAGGACCTAGTCCTATTGTCATATTCCTTTATATTCTGTGTTTAGTACATATCCACCTAACATTTGGGGAAATTCTCTACATCCAAAACAGACTTCATATGTTCTTCAAAAATTGACATATTCTCTTAATGGTTCATTAATTTTTCTGGTTAGTTTTTTTTTTTTAATTGGGGTTCAGAAGTGAGCGCTTCCTTGCCTTTCATGAGGGCCTGGTTTCTATCCATAGCACTACAAAGAATAAATACATTCTTTCCCATTTAAGTTTTGGTGCACATTGCTGCTATATCAGTTTGCTCAAGATACGATTCTCATGACAACTCCTCAGTCCCTTTGTGCCGCTATATTGTCTTAATCCCATCAGACCTAATGACTCCTGTTCTTAATCAGTACTTTTCCTTCTGAAAAGAAACATAGAAAATGAAATCTACCTATATATATTTTAAATGTCAAACTCATTGCCTTGAATATAATGCAACATAAAAGCAAAGAAAGGATGACTTATATTTTTAACAGTATGAATTTCATAAGGCTTGGACATGAATATACTCATGGAAATAACAGATGCTCGCACTCATTTGTAGTTAGTGAGTTTGAATTAAGAATAAGATCAGAAGTCCAGGAAGATCAAAGGGTAGAGGTGTAAGAGGGCAATGGATGAAACCTAGTACTAAGTCAAATTACAGAAAACCAGGCAGAAAGAAGGAAATGAACTTAATGGAAGTAAGGCTAAGATGTAAATTGAACTCTGTGCCCTCAGAGTCCTGACCTTAGGTCGTTGTGCGTGCAACCTGATCAGGAGCTGGGCTCTGTGGATGGAATAATTTGAAATGAGTACTGCATGAGGGTGGCCCGCAGTCCAGTGACTGATGGGGTTATGTGATGGCCAAGTCAGGAGACAGGGAGAAGGTGATGGGACAGCTGGACCAGAGGTCTGCGTGCTGCTTCCACGGGCCTGAGCCTCTGGTGTTGACAGCACCAGAAGCCAAGCAAGGCCAGAGGAGCCTGGCCTAGAGGCTTCAAAGAGCAGCATCCTGCAGGTACCTTGGCAGAGGGTGCACTTATGCTGCTTTAGACTCTCACGTCTGTGCCTATTACAGGAGCCGTAGAAAACCAATGCAGACCTCAAGGCAAGTCACAAATTGATGAAGAGGCCGTAAGGAGGGATGATAGTATTTGCAGGAGGTGGGCTTTTTAGTACCAAAGTAATTTTTACAGTTCTAAATAGAGTAGTGATGAGGTAAAGAGAAAACATCATCTGCCTTGAAAACCTCTTCCTTGTCATAACAGGTATCATGTCTGAAAAACTGGATGCTTTTTAGTTGGTGGAAAAAAAGGGCAGATTGAAAAATGAAAAAAAATCAAGAGGTTAATAAGCACCTATGTGGTAGACCTTCCAGAGCAATGCCAGATAACACTAAAAATAAGAAGCTCTAGCTAGACAACTCCTAAAATAAATAATTATAGTGTACAGGTTTCCTAACTTAGGTATCATTGTTGGCTTTGAAGTATTTTCCAATAGTCTGTTAGTGAAATTCATGAGATCTCTGAATTTGTATTAAGTTCTAAGTCTGTTAAAGAGCAATCTCCAGACTGTTACATTCTATATTTCTAGACAGTTTAGTTGCATCTGCTGTGAGATACTGTCTTGAAGTATTCTTGAACCATAGTAGGAAGTGCTATTAAAACAGTGAGAAGGACAGTTTGAGTGAGTCAGCCCTTGTGACAGCTTTACTTCTAAGCTTTTTTTTTTTTTGGTCTTTTTCGTTTTTATTGGTACCAGGGATCGAACTCATAACTGCCTGCTTGCAAGGCAGGTGCTTATGCCACTGAGCTAAATCCCCAGCCCCTACTTCTAAGCTTTCATCTCTGAAAAACTCTTAAATTACTGTTTTTCAGTGTCATTCCATAAAACACTTCAGGATTGTTACCCTTCATTGCAGCTGATTTATGCTGACTGTAGGTTTGGTTCAAGAGGCCATTTCAAGTCATGTAGAATGTTGGATGATTTGTTGTAGTGTGGGCATTGAATGTGGTGTTGTCCTGTGGTAACATTGTCATGAGCTGGTCCTGGACATCATTGTTACACTAAAGAGTCCACAGATCCACAAAATGCCACACGTGGCTGGTAGTATCTGGATGTTCACAGTGCTATACTCCATACCCTTCACAGCTAGACCTGCATCCTTGCCACAGTGAAACCAAGAAGCCATGTTTTCCTTTTAGATGTTGGTAAAGACTGGGGAAGAGCCCACCCAGGTTTCTGCACCAAGGGAGTGGCCACATCCAAGACTGGCTCAGAGGACACTCTGTGAGAACTTGGCTCAGGAGATGGCTACAGGCCTGATAAGTAAGCACAGTCCCCTTCATTGACCGTAGCTGGGCTCCTGGGAGCCCATGCATCCTATGGCTGCTCCCACCCTTTCCCTTCTGTGTGCTCTGTCTGCAGACTTCTCTCAGCCGCTACCATTTTGTACCCTTCCAAGTAATGTCTTCTGCCACTGATCACTGAAGTCACTGATTCTTGTGATCTTAGGTGAATGTCCCTCCCTTGACTCCTTTTCTTTCTTGGCCGTCAAGAGTTCCAGCTTTGCCATTTTCTGCTATCCCTTTTTTCTTGGGAGCCGTGTGACTACCTCTGCCTGGCTCCTGTGTCCCTCAGAGGAGGTGCTCCTGTCTTGTGCTCTGCCTCTCTGAGCCCTCTGCCCAGCTGGTTCTTGGTGCCCCAGGAGACCCTTCCTATAGGACTCCTGGGATTGCATCCTACACAGCTGTCATTTCTCTACCTCGGAGGTTGTTTTTCCTAAATTTATGGACCAAATGTTATTTAAATAATTTTTGTTTTAGGAAAAGTAATGAAAAGTGGTTTGTTTAATGTAGACCAAGATACCTGTGAAGAAATAGGACAAGGCATCAAGACTTCATGAGTTCCCCACAGGTGAGTGCCTGTGCTCAAAAGTGGCCCATTCCTGTAGAGAGAAGAAATGGGACAGAAACCAGCCTGTCGTAGTCCAGTTCCCTGGAAAAAATAATGAGAGTGCCATTCCCGCTCGTGTCATCGTGGAGGCCTGTGCCAAGGCAGTCTGTCAGTTCTTAACAGTTACACAAAACCTAGAGCTGGCACACGGCTTCCTCCAGAAATCTCCCCTTGCTCCGTTAGTGTGCCTTGTGTTTCCTTACGTTTTCATGGAGGCATAAATGGAGAAGCCAGAAAGCAAAACATTTTGACGACAGCAAAGGCTGCCAAGAAGGCTGCTGTGACAGTTAAGAAAGAAACAGCACAGGAAGAGGGGTTAGGGAACACGAAAGCAGGTATTTTCAAGCTCCACCAGGAGACTCAAGCAGGGAAAAGATAAAAAAGAAAATAGCTGATAAGAAATGGTGGAGTAGATAATTTGTAGTGTTGGTTGGGGAGGAAGCTGAGTGTAGCATAGACCCCCTACAGCAGAGAGGCAGGGAATAAGTCTCAGACAGAGCTGGCTTCTTGTGAGGCCATCAGCTTCTCGGACTTGAGAAGTCGGGAGAAATAAAATAAAGAGTGTAATCAGCTTGAAAGGCAGGCAGGAGTGGGGTGAGGAAATGAATGTTCCTTTTTACTGAGTTGGGGTTTTTTTTTTTGTCTTTTTCATTTTTATCAGTACCGGGGATCGAACTCACGACTACCTGCTTGCAAGACAGGCGCTTATGCCGCTGAGCTAAATCCCCAGCCCCGAATGTTCCTTTTTGACATTTGTTCATCTTAGGGAAGCGGGAAGCTAAATCATTTATTCGTTCATTCATTTTGGTTTGGGTAATTGAACCCAGGCCTCACCATGCACCAAGCTGCACCACTAGTCCCTAGAATGGAAATCTCTTTGAAGCTTAGCAAGAGAATTAAAGTTCTCATTACAGTAGTGAGCACAGAATCACATCTCACCAAGGGAAGAGGCATGGTGTTTAACTGATTACAGGGCCATAACTGGAGACTCACCCTGGATCTGAAACTGTGACTCAGTGCTGTAAAATAAAAATGTCACACTGGGCATAGCTGCACACTCAGGAGGCTGAGGCAATAAGATTGCAAGTTTTAGCTTGATTTAGAGACTCAGCAAGACCTTGTCTCGAAGGCTGGCCATGTACGGTGGCTTAGGCTATATAGTGACTTCAAGACCAGACTGGAGTACAGAGGGAGACCCTGTCTTTAAAAACAAAAAAGGGTGCATAAGTACCTCAGCACCACAATAAATACAAATAAAATTTTAGAGGGGCTAGAAATATAGCTCACTACTGCAGTGCTTACCTAGCACATTTGAGGCTTGGGTTAAGATTTCTCTACAGCTAAACATAATAAAATAGCTTGCTATTTCACATCAAAAATGCTTCAAGGTTGGCCACAAGGGTGTAGCAGCTCTGCCACACTGTCAGCAATACAGCCACTTGTAGTTCCACTCCTCCTCTAGCCCCTTCCTTGGCCACTTACCTCACTTTTTCCTATATCAGGCTTAACCCAATTCTACTCACCTCACAATGTCCAGCAGTGGCCCTTGGGGCTGGGAGGAGACTCGTGGGCTACAGGTTTAACCCTACCCCCAAAGTTTGCTCCCTGATACCTTGCTTTTTTATTATTTTTGCATCACTTTAATGTACAGATAGTCTTTGGGAACAAAAGACATTATTTATAGCATTCTGATTTTAGTAGTGATAGCTCTATTTAGAAAATTTACTAATTCTTGATTGCTAAAAATGTCAGATCCTAGAAAATGTAACACTTGTACATGCACTATTAACATTTGTCTTAATTCTTTGCTGAAGATTGATTTGATGAATCTGATTTTTCTAAAATAAATGATTTTAAAATTTTTATTTTATTTTAAAGAAAATAAAACCAGACAAAACAGAATAAAGCCAATCAGAACAAAACAGTGAAAGTGATACAGAACTTCAAAATAGGAAATCAACAACGGCTACCATAATGCCTCTCCTTATCTTCAGAATTGCTGCCCATACCATCAAACATAATAAAATTAAACAGAACAGAACGGAATAAAACCAATCAAAACAGAACATTGAATAAAACCAATAAAATGGAACAAATCAAAACAGAACAATAATGGATTTCAAAGGCAAAACGTAAGGAAGTCCCCCATATTTGCTGTATTGCATATTGTTATCCTTTCAGTAGATGCCCAGACTACTGGCTCCGAGCCTCTGAAGTCAAGCAGTATAAGCATTAACTTGTTTTTTTACCTCAGTTGCTAACAACTCCAAATCAGCCATTTGCTTATTCTTACCTCCCAGCCCTAGAGCAGTTGGCTCACGACAAGGGCGTACTAGCTTCTTGTTGCTCCCGGCACCTGCATGGCTCCCTCCAGCTTACAGGAAGGGAGAACTGGCTTCTCATTTCTTCTCCTGAGGCCCCTGCATGGCTTCTGCCTGCTCATGGGAAGCCAGAATAGATGATTCTGATGAATTTTTTGGATAGTGCTTCAGAAGATGATATGGTCAGGCCCCTCTCCAATTTAATGTCTGATGGAAATAGCCCGCATTAGCTGACTGGGGTTACACTCTGAAACAGCTCATGTTACAATTCCACGTCAAACATCACTGTCAGCACACCTGGCAGAAAAATTGATGTCACACATCTCTGATCCACTGCAGTATTTTGAATTGTTCTTTACTGCAGTTAGTTTAAAAAATTACCAGTAAAGCAAATGCCATTTTGGGGGCTGGGGATTTAGCTCAGCAGCATAAATGCCTGCCTTGCAAGTGTGCGGTCGTGAGTTCGATCCCTGGTACCGATAAAAACGAAAAAGACCAAAAAAAAAGGCAAATTCCATTTTGCCTCAATGGCTTCAAAGCCACCTGGCCCAAAAGGATTTCTGCAATAGATAAAGAGGAAGACACTGACAATGACAAATTTAGTGGTCTTTATTTTTAAACAATGTTACTACAAGTTGTTGTGTATAAACCTGAGCAGGAAATGATTTGGTCAACAAGACCTCTTTTGGATACAGCTTGGCTCAAATTATGACTGGTAAGAGAGTTTTACATTTGCTTCAGTTCCTGAATTTTGTCAGCAATTTTTCTGTATCTGCTGGTCAGTCAAAGGCTCAGACTTCATGAAGTTCAAATTTGTGTTCTACTTTTGGTAAACAAGTTTTCAGCTATATATACTGAAGACAGAAAGACTGTAGTTGATCAATTGGTGCTTTTCAAGAAGCTGTTAGCTATGAAGCAGTTTAGCCTGAAGAAGTGAACAGGATTTGATGTTGAGCTATATATACTTTATGAAAGTTCTTCCTCATTCAGAAACTCTGTGATAGCTATGAGGAGGCCTTATACATAACAACCACCTACTTCTACGAACCAGTTGGCAGGGCCACTGGAGTAAAACAGAAGGTTCTGGAAGTTCACCTTCCTGTTGACACTAGCCAGCTTGACTACAGTGCAGGGGCAGGGGCAGCCAGATGGGCTCACACTGGCAGAGGAGTGCAGTTGCTGTCCCGGCAGGCTCACCCACTGCCCTGCTGGGGAGGAGGAGCAGCCTACTCCAGAGGAGGACAGAGGGCAGGTCTGTGCCTGAGAGGCCTGACAAATTCAGCCGGAGGCATCCCCCACCCTGCTTCACGTCTGCCCCGGGTAGAGGAGTGAGTTTTGGAATTTCTGTAGCATGTTCTTTTTCTTTCCCAGAGATGGTGTGCCCCACAACCCTTGTAGCACCGCTGTCCTTCCTGAAAAGACAGGCTTGAATTCGAACACCCCTGCAGATCGTCACCAACCGCGTGACTTGTGGGCCCGGATGCACATCACATCCTTGCAGTACGCAGCAGGAGACATTACTCGAAAAGGGAGAAAAAAAGACAAAGCTCGAGTGAGCGAGCTCCTCCAAGGCCTTGCATTTTCTGATGAGTCAGGTGTGGAGGAAGATAATGAGCCTGACACACAGCCTGCTCAGAAAAAGCTGAAGGTGGCAGGCATCCCAAAGAAGAGATGGACTAAAAGAGACCTTAGTCCTAGCTTTCCACACTGGTCAGCTTTGGATTCTGGACTTCTGAACCTCAAGAGTGAAAAGTTGAGCCCAGTAGAGCTCTTTGAATTATTTTTTGATGATGAAACATTCAACTTGATTGTTAATGAAACAAATAATTATGCTTCTCAAAAAAATGTCAGTTTGGAAGTCACAGTTCAGGAAATAAGATGTATGTTTGGTATCCTGCTTTGGAGTGGAGTTGTACAGTGTCCCAGCAGAGAAATGTATTGGGAGATCTCTGGTGCTGATCAGAACCTGGTGAGGGATGCAATTAGAAGAGACAGATTTGAATTGATTCTCTCATACCTGCATTTTGCAGATAATAATCACCTAGATCAAAAAGATAAGTTTTCAAAATTGAGACCTCTCATAAGGCAAATGAATAAAAATTTCCTCTTGTATGCTCCCCTAGAAGAATGTTATTGCTTTGGTAAATCAATGTGTGAATGTTTTGATACCGACCAGTTTCTAAATGGAAAGCCTCTTAGAATTGGCTATAAAATTTGGTGTGGTACAACCATACAAGGTTATCTGGTTTGGTTTGAGCCCTATCAAGAAGAATCCACTTTGGAGGCACATGAGGATCTTGACCTTGGGTTAGGTGGCAGTCTAGTGATGAACTTTGCTGATGTTCTTTTAGAAAAAGGCCAGTATCCCTACCATCTGTGTTTCGATAGCTTCTTTACAAGTGTGAAATTGATGTCAGCTTTGAAGAAGAAAGGGGTAAGGGCGACTGGATCAATTCGTGAGAACAGGACTGGAAAATGTCCACTTATGAATGCAGAACATATGAAAAAAATGAAGAGGGGGTATTTTGATTTCCGAGTGGAAGAAAATGATGAGATAATTTTGTGTCGTTGGCATGGCGATGGCATTATCAGTGTGTGCTCCAATGCTGTAGGAATAGAACCGGTAAGTGAAATAAGTGGTTTTGCTGATGATGATGAGATTTTTCAGCTAAGTCAACCAGCCATTGTGAAATTATATGAGGAATGCAGGAAAGGAATATCTAAAATGGATCAAATTATTTCCAAATATAGAGTGAAGTTAAGAAGCAAGAAATGGTGCTCCATTTTGGTGAGCTACATGATTGACATAGCCATGAACAACGCCTGGCATCTGCACAGAATCTGTAACCCGGGTGCCGCTTTAGACCTCCTGGATTTCCGAAAATGTGTCGCACATTTCTACTTGGGACACGGTGCCCATCTGTCACATTAAGGCAGATGAACAAAATTCGACAGTGTCCAGCCAGAAGAATTAGCAAGTAACCCTACCAAAGCAGATCTGATGTATATGGTATAATTATTTTGTGCTATTTTTTAAACCAGATACTTATAATTTCAAGAAATTCTGAAAAAGTTCAATTCCAGTGGAACCTTACTATGCGTCTTAATTTTGTGACAGATACAGGAAATCCTTTGTTGAATTGTTTCTGTGCGTTAAGAGAATGAAATCCCACCCTCCCCTTTTCTCTCACAAGTGCTGTTGTAAGATGTAGACAGTTGTAAAGTGCAACCAGAGAACGGCATTGAGTCCACAGACCAAAGCAGAGACAGTGCCTGTGAGCTGAAACCAAGGCAGTAAGCCGCACGTGCTAGTGCAGCCCTGAAGTCCAAAAAACAGAGATTCAGTGACATCAGGCTCTGCTAGCAGTAGAAGACCAGTTAGGAGTAAACACAGTGTTCACTGCAGTAGATGTGCTCCTGGCTGACACAGGATCCCTGTGTGTGTGAGGTCAGCCTGGGCTGTCTCAAGATAGGGGTATGGGTGGCTGGGGATTTAGCTCAGCGGCATAAGCGCCTGCCTTGCAAGTAGGCGGTCTTGAGTTCGATCCCTGGTACCGATAAAAAACAAACCAAAAAAAAGGAGTATGGGAGCCGGGCTCACACCTGTAATCCCAGCACTCGGGAGGCTGAGGCAGTAGGATCGTTGTGAGTTCGAGACCAGCCTAGGCTACAAAGTGAGCTCAAGGCCAGCCTGAACTGCACAGCAAGACCCTGTCTCAAAAAGACAAAAAAAAAAAAAGGTATGGGAGGCTAAAGAACTCTACTTTAAAACTGGGTCAGATTGTGTGTGAGCAGGGCTAAGCGCGAGTGTTGTAAAGGAAAAACCAGATGTGAAGCAGTGCTTTTAAATACTGAGGTGAAACCGTGTTCTACTGTGACTGTGAATTCGAAGCCGAAGAAAATACGAAGCAAGTGATCATGAGTCAAAGAAAAGGATAATGGTTGACTTGGTACCCCTGTCCAAATCACCTAAGGTCATGGTCTAGGGTTACAGCACTGTCTTGCTTTGTAAAGCAAGACGCCAATCACTTTGCTTACCGTGTTCCAACCTGAGCTAAACACCTGTGATCCTTCATTCAGTGTTGCTCAAACACTGCTTTACATGGTAGGTATTTTTGTTTAGGGTTATGTCTATTACTAGATGAACTTCCAAGGAACCTCTTGTAACGAAGATGAGAGCTGAAATTATTTGCTACGTACATACGATTTAGCATACATAGAGTACATTGCAGCTTGATGGGACATTTTAGCTATCCAAATAAATAGCTGTATCTTTCAAGTGCACTTTTATGATAACCTTTTTTATAATCTAGTAACCGTGAGGGGGAAAACGAAGGGTAATTTGTGGCAAAAGATGTAAAGACAACTGGCAGTGTCTAAAACTACTGGGACAGCTCTGGAGGTGTAGGTAGGTGGCAGAAGGCTCTCCATGTGCAAGGCCCTATTCCCAGTATCAGGCAAAATACACAAATTCAGTGACATCTGACTGCTGCTAGCAGTGAAATACCAGTTTGGAATAAAGACATTTTCCACTGTAATAGATCCACTCCCAGTGTAAGAATGAAGTTCTTCGTTTTTCTTTCATCAGTTCACACTGCCAAGTAGTATTTATTTATTATTTTCTGGCTTTCTGCTTTTTGGGTAGATTCTTACTGTTAGGAAACACTGGGCTGTGGCCAAAGTGTTGCTGAAGGAGACAGATAATCTCATAGGACTCCAGCGTGCCCGACCATGCAGGGCCAGCCTGAGGAAGGCCTGCCAGTCTCCTCATGCGTTGGCCCTGATGAGTGGTGCCTGGATGCTGGAGAGTGTACTTGGGCCCCAGGGTTGCACAGGTACTGGTCAGAACAGGGATGAAGCCTGTCCCACACTCTCCATGTACAGGCCTCTTGTTCTTTTGTGAGTTGCCTGTTGACTGCTTCTGTCACACTTCAAGCTCTGAAAATGGTTTGAGGTCTGGGTGGGACTGATTAAAGAATTTCACTTCTAGTGTTTTCTGTTCGAAGGCTTTCTCCTTTTTCTTGCTGTTAGTCTCCACAGTTTCAAACTTGATTCTTTGTCCAAAGTACTGAAAGAATCTGTCAACCTTTTCCTATACAGGAGGAGGACAGCATAAATCAAATGAGGTAGTAAACAGTTTGGTAATTGGTCTCTGTTATAGGTGAAACAGTGCAGCAGCGGCAGTGGGGTAGGTCTAGAATAGATGTTTTGGCATTGTCAGGGTCAGACAGAACTACCCCCAGGGACTGGAGGTCAGTTATGATGAGAAGAGGGTTCTAGTATGGCCCTAGGAGTTGGTAACCATGGAAAAGGGCACTCAGAGAGAACCTAAAGAACATGGTCGTGTAAGACCTGGACTATGAACAGGGACGACCAATGTCTGATATGGCAGGTAGACAAGGATGAAGAACACAGAGCCTGAGGCATAAGGGAAGACGTCCAGGAAGAATGGGGCAGGTCAGTCGTAGAGACTAGCCAAAGTGGGGAACCACAGTAGCTGCAACCCGCAGCTCTTGAGGTTCCTGGGGTGAAGGACCAATAAAGGATGAGAAAATAAAGACACAAAGCTGGGGTCAGGTGGCGCCCTCACCCTCCTAATGGGAAGAAGCAACTGTTCCACCACTGCAACAGCATATATGCTCAGGAGGGGGATGTCATTTTCAACCCTGCTGCCTAACAACCCATTGCTAGGATTGTCTGAGGGCTTGATGTTCTTCTGGGCGAATCAACTGCAGGTGGCTTGCTGCAGGTGCTCTGTTTTGGGGCTGGCCATGCTGCCGCTCTGTCTGTGGTCAATTTCCAGCTTCAAGGGCTCCCAACACACAACCAAGGGCAGGAGATGAAGCAGCCAGGAATCCTGACTCAAAGCTGCAAGAGGGCTGGGGGTTTTGCTTAGTGGCATAAGCACCTGCTCTGGCAAGTGTGAGGTCGTGAGTTTGATTCCCCAGTACAAAAAAAAAAAACCCTGCAAGAGGACGGTGTAACTTACCTGCTGAGCAAGCCATATAGCACCACCAAGGAACCATTGATATATCTGAGAAACTGGCCAAGACTGTAGTGCAAAGCGCTGGGCAGGAAGGACCAGGGATGTGACCTGCTGTACACAGTGTCATCTTTTCTAGTGACTGGTGGCAGGCAGTGAGCAGGGAGTGATTGAGAGGAAATGACAGGAAATACTCTGGAAGCAGAACAGTGACTTGGGGAGCCATTCGGGATCCTGGCTTTATATCTTTGTCTAAGGGTCTGGAGTTAATAAAGCTGACTCTGATTCCTTAACACTGAAATCTAAATTTTTAGAATTTGGAAATCATTCCCAGCTGTAATGTTGACTGCTACCTGGATTTCCATGCTTAAATTAGTAATTTCCTGTGACACAGATGCCACAACATACAGTTAGTGAACTGGAACCAGAAAACAACAGATTGCTTCAACCTGATAAAAGCTGTTGAGCCTATGGCAATGCCCCCTACCAGGGCAATTTTTAAAAATATGAAAATTGCTGGTGAATCTTTTCTCTATACCTCTTGCTTAAAGAAGAGGGAAGCCAGTTGGTTAGGAAGGAAATAAAATGGTACATAATTATCTCAGGGTAAAGGAGAGGTATTAAAGGCTGATCCAATGGGGATGTTTATAGTTTTTGAGATTCAGAACAGCATGCTTGGAACTAATGCAAGTTTGCTAGGGGCGAAAGGGGGGTTTATATACAGGTGAGATCTAGGATTTGTCAGCCCAGGAATGAAGGTTAAGGATGAGAGGTCAGGCAGCATGCACTCTCCCCTCCATGCCAGAAGATTGGCAGTCAGTAAAAGGTTATGGGTTAGAGGCCTAGGGATTTAAAAAATTAAATGGCTAGGAAAAAGTGTACTGGGATGGATATATAAAGCATAAGTAGATACAGGAAAATACTAGAGAAGAAAGTTCAAGTGGGCAAGGAGAAGTGGTACAAGAGCCAGTACTTGCAATGTGATAAAGATACAGGTTTCAGGTCAGAGCTGGAGAAGGTGAATTGGTCATAATGTGGAAAGACCTTCAGGGATTCTGGTAACGTGGGAAGATGGCTGGCGGGAAGAGTGATGGAGAACAGCAGGCAGAAGCCACTACCTCGTGTCTGGAGGAGGTCCTGAGGCCTGCAGGCAGCTACTTGCTCTAGCAGCAAGGAGGGCCACTAACACTAGAAGAGCTGGCAGCCGCTTGCATTCAAAGCCAATTCATGATTTCTGTGTGAATTGATCCAAGAACCCTCAGCTGCTGGGTAGCATCTTGTGCTGCGACCCACATGGCCCTTGAGGTTCTTAGGGTGAAGGACAGTGAGAAGATGAGAAAACAAGAGACAAAGCTGGGGTCAGGTGGAGTCCTTACTCTCCTGATGGGAGGAAAGGTGCTGCTCAACCAATGCAGCATGTTTATACACCAGGAAAGATGATGTCAGTTTCAGCCCCTCTTCCCAGCAACCCATTGCTTGAATTGTCTAGGGGGCTGGTGTTTTTCTAGGCTGTATCAGCTTCATGTGCCTTGCCCTAAGTGATCTTTGTTTTCAGGATGATCATGTCTGGTAATGCTGCAGCCCTGCACGTGTAGTCAATTCCCAGCTTCCACAGCTCCCAGCAATCTTGGAATCACCTACAGGGACCTGTGCTCCTACAAATCCCTGAAGATAATAGTGAACAATGTTGACTTTTGTCAGAAGGTTCAAGAATTAGCCCATGTCTGATTTCCGTCTTCTATGCATCATAGATATAGATATATAGATCTTGCCAGGAAGAGTCTTTCGTGTTATTTTCTTCCTTTGATGGTTGTATTCAGTTCTTCGCTCCTTCCTTGGGGAGATAGCTTAATAGAGAATCCTAAGGCAAGAAGGGTGGTGATGCCTTGGTAGCTGCCCACCTGTGAGGCCATGTTGTGTCTAGAACTGTGCAGAGTAACCATGCCGTGGTCTATGTGATAGAAAGGTAACATAAGCTACAGCTCAGACACACTTTAAAAGCCATGTCCACATTTATCATGGTTAGGGGTGTGATCAGTTTTCTCCTGCCTACTGATTGGCCAGACCACTCAAGTGACAACACAGAGAGGCCACACAGGAGAATGTATTCTTCATCTCCTGAAGGAAAAGACAGATATTTTGCCCATGTGCCTTAGCTCATTTAACTAATGTCATTTGCGTCAACTGAGTGTTGAAGATGGGCAGAGCAAAATTTGGGTGAAAGAGGAAAAGAATAAATAAAATGGGCCCAAAGATTATCTGTCTCAAGCTAGCAGTACTCATGTCCAAAGAGATTCTGCTTCTGGTGATTGCATGGAGTGGGCACATTGTTGTGGAGATTCTCCTGGACCTCTGCCTGCTGCAGCTGGGTGACAAAGGATGCTTGTAATCATCTCAAGTAATTTTCACTTCAAGGTTATATCACTTTATGGAGATGAGCTAGACACTGACCTAGCAGGCTTTTTTAGATATTATAAGAACTAGAACTAAATCCTGAGAAGAAAATTAGGTATGAGGTGGAAGGAAAAAAATCAGTATTCCATTCAGGGACTGCAAGGATGATATTAGAAAGCTGAAAATGAAAATATTAATAACTCAGCTTAGTGAGTGAGTGAGTGAAAATATGAATAACTGACTTCACAGAACATGAAGTTTCTCAGAAGTACTCCTTCTGCTCCAGCAACTTTTCATGGCCTCTCAGTTTGGTTTTGCACATGTAAGACTTCTACTTGTTAAGCTGATAGCTTAATCCATCAGTTTTTACTCTCTGAAGAAGGTTAGGGTTAGGGTTAGGGTTAACCCTAACCCTAACCCTAACCCTAACCCTAACCCTAACCCTAACCCTAACCCTAATTAAGAGCTCACTTCTGCTGAACACAGTGTATAACTTTGGTGTCATAAAAAGCACTGTGGCTTTTTCCCCCTTATCTTCTCTGGAAGAAGCCAGGTGATATGTTATAAAGACACTTAAGCAGTTCCCAGAAGAGACCAAAATGGTGAAGAAGTAACCCTCCTGCCAACAGCTGGCGAGCACCCCAAGCCACTGACAACCTTGCTGGGGAGCCATCTTTGAATGCCTCCGCCAGCTTCAGACATCATTAGATGATGACAGTCTTAGCTGACATCCTTACTGCAACCTCACGTCTGGTCCTCCTAAGTACCTCCAGAATTGCCAATTCACAAAAACCATGGCATAATGTTGTTTTAAAGACATTGAGGTTTAGGGGTTGTTTAGATGGTAAGATAGAATTAGATGCCTACTTCCTCCTTTCAGCCAAATCCCAGGCTCGCTAAGCTCATGTTTCAGGTCCTCCACCACAGTGACTGCCTCCTCCATACTCCCTGGGTGATGCTCCTGCACCCAGGCCTGCAACTCCCTGGGCAGGACAGCCGGGAACTGCTCCAACACCAGCAGCTCCAGGATCTGCTCCTTCCTATGGATCTCTGACTTTAATCACTGATGACAGAGCTCGAGTAGCTGGCTCAGAGCTTCTCAGGGACCGGGAGTCTGCTGCTGAGCTAAAGCCATGGCGGCAAGTCACTTGAATGGCTTTAAGTCCTCGCCTTCTCTCTGTAGCTGGAAACTTGTAGTTGTTTCCTGTTGTGACTCTGGGATCAACTTTTACTGACTTAGCCAATATGAGGTTAGCAAAAGGTGATGCAGCGGATTCAAAGCTGCTTTGTGTGACTTGGCTTGTTTACCCTTGCCCTATGAAAGTGCCAGAAAAAGAATGTGCCCAGACAAGTCTTCAGGTAGTAATGAGACACACAGGACAGTGTCAAGTCACCCAATGCACACACATGATTACCCTAGATCAGCTAGCAGCCAGGGGCCTCACAGACAACTGAGTCCACCTGCCTGTGATCAGTGGCGTTGTGTGAATACCCTGCTGCTGACTGCACGGGTACAGGTGGGCTCTGCCTGCCCCCAGGTGAGCTCTCACCACAGACTCAAGTGCTGTTTATTGTATCACATTATTATTGCAGCACATAACTAACACACAGGGGTAGGGAAAGCACATAACTGTGTAATGAGGGAAATGTCTTTTTAACTGAATACCCTTTGTACTATTTCCTGATTATTGTACCACTTCATATAAAATAGTGACTTGCGGGAATAAGGCTTAGCAGTACAATGCTTGCCCTGGGTTTGATCCACAGCACCACAAAACAACAAACCTGATAAAGTCAGTACGTGCTAGGTAAATGTGTAGAACATGATACATAAAATTAGCTAGTATATCAGGTGATAGAGGCCTGAAATAAATGTAACAATTTAAAAAGGTAAAAAACACTGACTGGTGATAGCCATTGAAGCAATGTGGCTTAATAGCACATTTAGAAAATATATGGCCAATATTAACTGTCATGACTACTATGTATTTACTCTTCATGGCACCAGGGATTGAGTCCAGGGCCTCATGTGCTAGGCAAGCACTGTAACACTGAGTTACATCCCTAGACCTACTATACATTTATCATATAGGTCAAATTTCGGTTCTTCCTACATTTGACCCAAAATATCCTTAGATCTTTCCTATCAGAGACCTGGCCAAGATCCCCAACCTCCCAAATGAGTGTAAGGTAAAGGCCTAAAGAAACGAGACAAATGGTATGATTTTTAGGGATCCAGGAAGATCAAAACCCTCTAACAGAATTTGAGATTCTCTTGGGGCTTTGACAAGGAGTTCTCTGGGTGGCCCATATTTATTTGGTTCTCAAACAAGGAGGAGATTAGAGTAGAAAACTGGAAACTGAGCAGAACCTTGGAAGTGGTTCAAGGATTTTTCCAAGTAACAGACTATGTTAATTTAGGATCAGTATCATATGCTAATTTAGGAGAATTATCTTGGGAGAAAGACTCCAGGTTGGGTTTCACTCCTGCAGCTAACAGTCTTTATGTATTCAATTGGGGTGAAAGTCAGGCATCCTCAGCTGTCACCGTATCCCATCCTTTTAAGCATCACAGGCCACAACAGGCCTCAGCTGGGACCAGTGATTCACAGAGTTTCACTTACTATGGATCTGCTGTCCATCTCCAGACAGATGACTTAGGCCATGGACTCATGCACAGGTAAACATAGTTTACTTAACTATGGTTAATTTTATTTTAATTAATTAATTATTGTCTTTTGAGGCAGGGCCTCACTTTGCAGTTCAGACTAACCGTGAGCTCACTCTGTAGCCTAGGCTGGTCTCGAACTCACAACAATCCTCCTGCCTCAGCCTCCGGAGTGCTGGGATTACAAGCATGAGCCACCACATCCGGCCTAACTATGGTTAATTTTAAATCCTGCTTAGAGCCTCTTTGTAGTGGTCTCCATCACTTCCCTTTTTCATGTGTTATATAAATTTAGCATTGACCACTTAAGTTCCATAAAGCATACTCAGGATTTTGCTTAGCTTTCCACTGAATTTAATTTTAATTTAGGAAGAAATGACATCTTCATGATACCAAGTTCTCATCTATACAAACATTGTATATATGTCATTTATCTTTAGTAAATAGGCTTTATAATCTTTTTATTAAGGCAGCACTTGTATTTCTTTGCTCCTGAAATGATCGTTTTTTTAAAAAGTGCATTTTCATTTTCAGTTTTTGAGACAGGGTCTCACTGTGTAGTTCAGGCTGGTCTTGTACTCACTGAGTAACTCATGCTGGCCTCGAACTTTCGGTGATTCTCGGCTCCAGCCTCCCAAGTGCTGGCATCACAGAAGTGCACAACCACGCCCACGCCTAGAGAATATATTTTCTTTTTTGTGCTGCTGGTGTGCTTGTCATTTTTTTAAAACTCAGCAATGTTGCTGAGGTATAATTTGGGTGGTGGATTGATTTGGACTTTCTAGGTACGCCATCAGCATTTTCGAGTTACGCGTTTTAAACTGTTTTAATTAGGTAATGTAATCAGCTCTAAAAGTAAAAGTACGGCGATACCCACCATCCCCTACTTTTGAACCACACGCACGCCTCACAACTAACAACAATCATTAATTGTCTTATGTAGGAAACTCTTTCCCAGGGTTCCTTAGTGCTTACCCAAGCAAATAAAATTTACATTTCTTCACTTCCATGAGTAAAACACAAGAGTGGAGCGCTAAGCGTTCCTTCCCCGTTACTCCAGAAAAGCTGCTTGGGGGCGGGCCCAGGGGCGGGCCCAGGGGCGGGGCGGGCCCAGGGGCGGGGCGGGCGGAACCACCGAGGTGCGAGGCTAGAGCGGCGGAAGCGGCCGTGTCCGCGCGGGGCCCGCCGGTCCGGGACGCCAGTGAGTACGGGGTGGCTGCGCCGCGGCTGGTTTTCGTCCGAGAAGGGATGTGGGGCCGTGTGTGTGACGGAGGACGAGGCTGGCGGTGCCCGGGTCCTCGGGGAAGGGCGAGGTCCGCGCGTGACTGCCCGGTGCCCCCTGTCGCGCGGGAGCCTGGACGGCTTGGGCGCCGGTGGCTCCTTGGGCGCAGGCTCAGTTCCCGCCCTGGCGTGGAGCCTCACTGTGGCCGGAGCTGGAATTAAGGTCCTCACAGTTGGTCTGGTCAGCCCGAGAAGATACCAAGTCACATCCTGGGGTTTAGGGCAGCACGTCTTCGGGGTCATATCTGAATTCAGCCAGCCAGAGGCCCCGAAGCTGAAGGATCACAGCCCGTTGTGGAGAGGAGGAAAGTCCTAGAATGTCCAGGAAGCAGCCCGGGTCCGTCTCCCTAGTCGGATTGTTAGACCCACCCCCTGGGGCTGTTGGGAGGAACTCGTGAGTTGTGAGAGTACAGGTCGTGGTGCCGCAGGCACTTGAGCACGGAGAGGAAATCTGCACAGCTGCTCCTGGGCTGCGCAGGAGGAGCGGTTTAGATGCTTAGTGACAGTGATTCCACCTTTCTGGCTTCTCCCACAGAAACACCACTGACGCCTCAGTGAGGCTGGCGGCAGATGATGGCTGGAGAACTGGACGGTCGTGTAGCCCTAGATGCCCACTCTGCAGAGGACGAGATGGGACTTCTGATTGTGAAGGTGGAGGAGGAAGAGGCTTCTTCCTGGGTGGAGCAGAAGAGCTTGCTGGGCCCTGAACACGCCTGCCTGTGTTTCCGTGCCTTCTGCTACCTCGATGCTGCTGGCCCCCAGGACGTCCTGAGCCGGCTCCGAGCTCTGCCAACAGTGGCTGTGCCCCGAGACCCACAGCAAGGAGCAGATCCTGGAGCTGCTGGTGCTTGAGCAATTCCTGGCCGTCCTGCCTGCAGAGCTGCAGGCCTGGGTGCGCGCACAGCGTCCACAGAGTGGGGGAGAAGCTGCAGCACTGCTGGAGTTTGTGCAGGGGCCCCTGGAGGAGGCGCTGCTGCAGGTAAAAAGAACAGGTTTAGTATCTGAGAGCTGCGGTTCATGCCCTCCCAAAACGTCATGGCTGGAGTGCGGGCATTCCTTTATGATCCAGGAGCTGCCAGTCTCTGTACCATGGACCTTTTTGGAAATGAGGCAAAGTAATCCGGGCCCTTTCTCAGAATGCTATTTATATGCACGTTAAGGAAAATATGAAGGATTGCAAGGAATATAATCCTATTAAGCTTGTTAGGAAACTACTAAACAACTACACTAAAGTTTTTTTTTATTAATGTCCTGAATCATAAGGCTTAAGAAGGCTGGTAACTGGTCATTTCAAAGTGATGATAAGGGTGAATGACTTTGGAGAGACTGCCCAGTTTAAAGTGCTGTGACACTGTAGACTCTCTTGGTAACAAAGTCCTGGGACTTCTTAGGACGCAAAGGTTTGTTGCTTCCACTGGTAATTGAAGGACGTGCTATATTTTTCCTAGAGATCAGTTGCGAATAAGACCAGTTATTTTCCTAAACCCATGCACCACTGATTTCGAACCTCTGGTGGAAACAGGCTGGTTTTCCCTCCATCGTTGCTTTTCATGAGCCTGGTCCCTCTGTGTGGTGTGGTGTCCTGGTGCAGCTTCCCTCAGCACTACAGGCCCAGGCTCCACACTAGTGTGCAGCACACTGGGGTTCGTAGCTTAAGTCAGCTGTACCGAGCTCTGTAACAGCGAAGTTATTTTGAATCTCTTCAGTTTTTCTTTATAAAGAGCAAGACAAGTTCTGAGCAACACTTGGGAAAGTAGTTTGAAAACTGTCGTTTAACCATAAATATATCCTTAGACAGAAACCTGAATGTTGGGGACATCCCAGATGCCAGGCCCTCTGCTGGGGATCTCACATACTGTGACCTTATTTACTAGTTCTCCAAACGCTGTAAATTATGCTCACTTTTTAGATAAGAAAAATATTACTACTTGTTGAAAATTTTCTGCTAGTTTCTGAAGGGTTTTCATGAAAGCACAAATGTGTAAAGAAGGAAAGCGGTGGTTTAGTGTACGGCTCCAGGGTTAGTGTTGTCACAGACTGGCTGAACGACCTGAGTAAACTGCTTCAACTCAGCACCACTTTCCCAGACATCAAACCCAGATAGTAACAGTGCCCAGCACTGTGTGCACTAAATGAGTTAGTGTCCCTGAAACTCTTGCAGTAATGCCTGGGAAATAGAAAGCACTTACACATAGTTTAATAGAAATGTTTGACAAATAAATAAAAGTAAATTCATGTCTTCTAGGTTTCAGGTGACCAAGCACTTTTGGGTTATGAGGCAGGAGAGGGGATGGCAGCCCAGAGTTCACAGAGTGGCCAAGTCCCAGCAGTGAAGCCTCTGTGCAAGCATGAATCTCGGGGATCCTGGCCCTTGCAGGACACAGGTAAATATTGTCTCCCAGTGTGTCTGAATTCTACTGGCCTTGCCCAGTTTCACCGAAACGTGGCCTGGAAGATTGGCTGACCATGCTTGACGTGCTTATCACTGATGAGCTCTACTTTGAGAGGGAGACTAAAGGGTGCTAGTGAAGTGACAGAGAACTCTCCTGGCCAAGCCTAGACACAGCACGATGGCAGGGGAGTGTGGCTTGGAAGGACTTGGTCCTCCATTCTGACATGAATTGTGGAGCCTCTCTTATCATAGCCAGTGTGGTTGGCGCTGAGGATGACACCGTCAGTGAGACGCCTCCTCCATGGAGCTTCCACTATGTGTGAAAGATGCCAAAGAGACACATTAGTAGCACAAGTTTAAATAGTCATTCCGAAGAAGAAAACATCTATAAAGTCAGCCAGAATGTCTAACAGTTGTAGGAGACTGCAACCTAAATGACACAGATCTCCTACCCTTAGGATTGTTACTAAAATTGCACAACACTCAATTGGTAGGGAAGGACTGTGTCCTTGGGCGACCTCTCCTGTGCCTTGAACATGTGTGACAGTCCTTGCCACCCAGGCACTGGGACTCCAGCCAATGCTCATTCTTCATCTCTGCAGAGGTTCTAACCATACCACTTTGTGTCCTGTTCGGTGTTTCCCTCCTGTAAGGAAGTCTGCAGTTGAATCTGACTTGTCTCTCTCAAATCTGAGCAAGGCCTATGCAAGCAGACTCCCATTCCTGCCTTTTTGGGTCCAGCTTTGACTGACTTAGTTTTTCAAAGCCAAGTCAGAATGGACCCTCACACTCCTAAAGATGTGCTGAGCACAGTTCCTCCCCTTCCCTAGCAGAGTTCATAGGAGCTTCAAATGACAAAGCTTTGTTGTTTTGATTCTTTTCACCGCTCCACATGAGGGTTCTGCTTTCCTGCGTAGATTTTATATCTTTGCACTCTAAAGTTAGAGCCAGTGGGGACTGGGCATGTTAGAAAGGAACACTTTGTATAAATTTGTGTGACAAAAATTGATGATGCAGTTTTTGAATTTGGGTTGCCCATGGCAGGGAGGCTGATGGCAGGGCAGATCTCATCCAGGGCTTTTTTCGTAGTAGCTGCCTAAGACGACAGCTGCAGAGAAGATGCAGTGGCAGCTGACGAGCTTCCGCCAGAGTCCCAGGTAAGGTGAGTCCCTTCCCTTACTTCCTTCATTACTGTCCTTCCTGCAGAGCTGTCATCCTGTCTATGCCGCCTGTGCCGCCATCATGGATCCCCCACCTGGTCCTAGGGGGATGTGAATTTGCTCTTTCAGTCCCAGGTTGCTTACTGTCAGCTTCACCGAAGTGTGCAGTTTCATTGCTGGCTTGCAGAACTGTCTGTTGCCCAGATACTACCACTCCATCCCTTTGGTGGTCTTCTTCTGTTGCTGTGGAGGCTGCTGAAAGTGGAAGACGTCCCTGACGCTATCCCCTGGGAAGACCCAGCTGGTTTCCTCCCACGTGACCCTTTGCAGAGATGAAAGGCAGCCAAGCTGGGGCTGCGCTGGCTCCCTGGGTAAGACCAAGGGACTCCGGGGCTCCGGAGGGGTCTCTGCATGCTTTGCAGTGAGACCTGCTGGCCCTGGCAACCTGTCAGAACTGGTGATCCCTGTGCCACATAGATTCAGAGCGACCATTTTTAAAGCCACCAGCCCTTCAGCCTCCACTCTTGTTTTCTTATGGGCTGTGCCGGGGTTCTAGTCTGAGTGCGTGGATGAAGCAGCTGAGATGCCTGGCACCGACCTGGCTCAGAGAAGACACACAGCACAGTTAATTTCGGGGCTGGGGCTGGGACTGGGGCTGGGGCTTAGCAGGGGAGTGCACAGCGCTGGTTCAGTGCCTAGCTCAGGGACATAGTGCAGTCAAATACATATTTGCTCCCCTTCCATTCCTGCCCCAGTAGCCATTCTGTTTGGGGACCCTGTCTGTCTCTGGATGCAGTCCAAGAGCACCTTCCTTGTCTTTGGTCACTGGCCAGGTTCAGAGTTGTAACACTTTGGAAGTTCTTCATCTTGCCCCGTTCACTGCCACCTTCCACTCAGCCCCCTCAGCATCTAATCCTCCTGGGTGGCCCTGCCTTTCTTTTCTTATTGCTTAGTGACCCTCCTCCCCCAAACCAGCACCACGTGACACCCTGGCACAGTCCTCGGCCTCGTCCCCCCTCCCTGCATTCCCTCCCGTGCCTTCTGCCAGTGCCCCTGCTCCGTTCTCACCTCTCTGCTCCCCAGCACCGTTCCTCCCATCCTGGTTCCTGCACTCGAATCCTCCTTGCTCGCAGAGAGCCCTGCAGTTCTCGCCTCCCTGGTGCACATCACACAGCTTTCCTCCACACTGGGCCTAACCCACCGTTGTTGGCCCTGGCTGTTTCAGGTGGTGAAATGCAGGTGAAGGTCAGGGGCTTGTCTCCAGCTGAGGAGTGTCCAGGACAAGAGCCTGGGCAGACTCCATGCCACCTGGATGGGGACATTGCCCAGGGTCCTGCTTGTGCTGAGGCTGGTGAACAGGAGGACAGGTTACAAGGAAAGCAGAACAATGCTGTGAGGAGTGGGCATCATGTTTGTCTCGAATGTGGAAAGAGCTTTGCTCAAAGTTCAGGCCTGACCAAGCACAGGAGGATCCACACAGGTGTGAAACCCTATGAGTGAAGAGTATGGCAAAGCCTTTAGTCACAGATCAGACCTTGTCAAATACCAGAGAACACACACAGGCGAGAAGCCCTACGAGTGTGAAGACTGTGGGAAAACCTTCAGCCAGAGCTGCAGCCTCCTGGAGCATCACAAGATTCACACTGGGGAGAAGCCATACCAGTGTACCATGTGTGGCAAAGCCTTTAGGCGGAATTCACATCTCTAGAGACATCAGTGGCTCCATGGGAATAAAAATGAGCTTGGAGAGGTAGGTAAGGCCAAGATGGAAAGCCAGCGGGAAAATGCCGAAACTCCTGTGTCTTACAAATGTAGAGTGCAAGAGAAGTTTCACTCAGAAAATAGGACTTACGGAAAATCAAAAAATCCACACTGGGTAGAAACCCTACCAGTGTGACACATGTGAAAAGGCTTCACTCAAACTTCATACCTCATTCAACTTAAGAGAAGCCACATAGGGAAGAAAATTCGGTCATAGTGACCACTTGTATGTATAGGAAAGTTGCTGTTCATTTGTCATTGAATTAAAGGCACCTGGAGCCTCACTGTCTATGGAATTTGTAAGCTGGGGTTTTATTTACTAATAGACATCAGGTGTTTTCAAAATACATTCTGGCCGAGGTGAATCGTCTGTATTTTAGAAGGTGTTTGGAACAGAGCTGAGTCCATACGAGGCTGTGGGAGAGTTTTTTGGAGGTGTAGGACCTCAGTGTTTCTTTCTCACCCACTGGAACTAAATGAGCCTCCAGACTCACTAATTTCTATCAGCCTGCACTTTAAGATGTCCTCCTGCTGCCAGGACCATACTTTTTCATTGTAGTGAATGCAATATGATTGGTCAGATTCATGAAGTCTCACGGTCCCCTCTGTGCCTTGTATACAAGTGCTAATGTGCATTTATTAAGTGCACCGTGAGGTTACTTACATAACCTAAAATCTCATGTCTATACTTTTGTAGAACTTTTTATCAAGATCAATTTGCTTGTACCTAAGAGTTGAGGTTCTAAGTTCTGAGTCAGTCTACGTGTTTTTTTCCATATACATAGGATTGATAGGGTGGGAGGAAGGTGAGATAACTGATAGAATTGATTTTGTTGCCTAGCCATTCTATTCAGAATTCTTAAAGAGCTTCATCATTGAATCATCAATGCATGCTATTCATGAATTCAGTTCTTTAATTTGTCTCTGATGCTGTTTGTGCTACTCTTGAGGGAGAAAGGTTTTCCTGTTCAGTTGGTATGAAAATCAGTTATGCAGTTGGAATAAAATGATTCATTTTCTGAGCTTAAGCACTTTTGTTTTTACGTTTTAATCCTCTTGGGCCTAAGCAAGGGCCCCTCAAAGCTGTAGTTCGGTACCTCTTCATCTCCCTTGTCAGCAAGTACTGTGTGGTGAAGTGTAGGTTTACACTTCCTGCAGGTCAGCACATTGCTACCAGTAGTATTTAAACCAAGTGTCTCACTTGCAGAATGACACTTCTGGTGTTTGACAGTCTTGATCATCTTACATCTTAATTCCCAAAGCCACCTATATGGAAACATCTCTTTTTTTATGACAAGAAGTTTGACCTTAAACTCAGAGCATTTAGTTTGTCATTAAACACGCATTTTAGATCATTCTTTTTCTTTCTTCCTTCTTTCTTCATTTTTACCCTGTCCTCATCTTCATCTTTCTTTTTGTCTTTGTCATCTCCTCCTCTTTTTTCCTTTGTCCTCCTTTTCCTGCCCTCTCCTTCCTGCTCCTGATAATCCAAATTTCAGTCTTGTCACTTTAGGTGAGAAAACCTCATTTTTTCCAGGATGACTGAGTGGTCGTTGGGTCCATCTTTCTATATAGCAAACATCACTTCAATCAGACACTGAGCTCTTTTTTTTTTTCAATTTCAGATCCACACAGTGTTTCAGAGATCTTCAAAGATAACAGTGATTCCTCTTGGTGACATTTGTGTTAATTTGAGGTCACATTCTGTGAACAAACAAATAGCTGCTTCAGCACAATCCTCTGTTGGACTTTCCAGGAGCAAAGTGAACATCTCTAAGCATAAAACATTATTGCTAAATTTTTGTTAAGAAGATGTGCCACAAATTTTGAACCAAAGTTGCCTTTCAGTTCTTTAATAGCTTTTTCAAAAATTGAAAGTTAACATCTTGATGATTAATTCTCTAATTTGTGGAAATTTTCAGTTGATAATTGTCACCAGTGCTTCTTTAACATGAGTGGAGAGCAGGGCACACTGTGCTTGTAAGACAGATCTGGACGCAGTCCTCTTTCCCTGACTGTATTTTCTTGATGAAGCTGTTGAATAATAATACATACATTGGAAATGTTGACTGTTGGTAAGAGCACTGGTGACTTCTCTAGGGCCTCCCAACCCTCCCTCTGTTAGGCTGTATTTTTACCTGTAATCTGCTCCTGCGCCACCCTGAGCATTGCGGGAGGAATGTGTGCTCCAGCACCATGAGTAAGGAGAGGTCCTGCTTGTGTTCTTTGTAGTAGGTTCATCCTGAGCTGAACTCTGGAGTGTTGATGGTTCTGAGCTGTTTCTACCCAGAGTTTCTAGGACCTTTTCCTATCTCCTCCTGTCTTTCTCTGAGTTTTTCTTGGTCACTGCCTTTTGTTTTTACGTTTTAATCCTCTTGGGCCTAAGCAAGAGGATTAAGCCTAAGCAAGATTATTATTATGGTAATAAGAATGTCCTCTTCTTGGATGTTCATAGTCTGACTTGATGAAATCAGAGTAACCTCCATCCCCAGGGGAACATTTCTTTTTTTTTTATTGGTACTGGGGATCGAACTCATGACCGCCTGCTTGCAAGGCAGATGCTTATGCCACTGAGCTAAATCCCCAGCCCCTAAGGGGAACATTTCTTTTTCTGCATATCTATCTGGAGAAGAGGTAACCTGAAGAGAATTAGAGTTTTCTGTCATAAACGGAAGAATATCAATGCCACACTATTCATTTTGTTGCCAGTTGATCTGATAAAGACTTCTCAAGTTGGTGCATGTTATAGGTACTCAATGGTCTGAATTCCTTTACAGTTTTCTTTTTCTGCCTGCAAATACATGGTAGCTATGGCCCACTTACTAATTCTTTGAATTGACCGAACTGTTGGCATAACTATATTGCGGCAGCACTATTAGGTGTCACTTCTGTTTGTCTTCATATTGAAGTTGAATAAATGATTCTGAAGCTTCACTGGGCCAGCTACCATGACATCAAATATACCCATCAGGAATAATCTTAAGCAAATAAAAGGTTTTGTTTATCTGTGTGGTGTTGGACTGAAATGAGGGCCTAGTGCATGCTAGGCAATTGCTCCAGCACCAAGCTACATCCCCAGCCAACAAGACCAGTATTATCTATTATATAGTTATAATCACAACTGCTCATGTTACTGCTGATGGCTATCACTTCTACCTTGGATTTGCTTCACTTTCCAGTGTTCTTCCTTTATTTCCTGCCTCCTGTTGTTGAATTCAAAATATATGTGGGTGTAAGATACCTTGAAGGTCTCTGATCCCCTAAATCAGTGGTGGTGGACCTATGGTGAGAGTGCACAGCAGGTTGGTTTTTGTCACTGAAAGTTCTAAAAAATTGGCCATCATTGCCTTGGATGTTCTCATTGTGATAACACGTCTATCGTACAAAGATGGAAGCCTGTCACAGAGCATTCTCCGTGCACTGTGCTCCCAGGGTAACACACGTAGTCCATACCTAGTGTCTGTCATGTGCTCCACGTGGCCCTCACAACCTTCACTGCTCTGCATTGCCAGTTTAGCTTTAACTAGTAACCTTACTCCATGATACTCACATTTCTACTTTAGCCTTCAAACCTATTTTTTGCGGTTTCACTCTGGACCTTCCTCTATTTAATTGCAAAATGGGGGCAGTTCCCCAGCTTGGTACTATAAAAATAAATCTTTGGAGACTGGGTTTGGACATAGTAACCTGAGGTGATACAACATCAGGCACAGGGCCGTGGCTACCACAAGCCCTTGGTTTTCTCCCATTCTCTGTAATGGTTCAGTTCTGTAAATGAGGAATCACCCACACGGCCTCTGTGTCCATTACCCAGTTTCATTTTATGACCTGCCTCCAAAATTGGACACAAATCAGCAGAATGCTATCTCAGATGTACAGAAAAAGATGATTTTTTTAAAAAAATTAAAATTTTTATTTTAAAGAGAGTAAAACCAAGCAAAACAAAACAATAAAACCAATCAAAACAAGATAATGTGACATAAAATTTCAAAACAAGATAATAGGAAATCAACAATGGCTACCATAATGTCTCTCATTTTCTTCAAAATAGCTGCCCATGCCCTCAGACATAGCAAACAAATGAAACAACAGAATAGAACCAATAAAAACAAAACAATGAATGCAGTATGGACTTCAAAGCAAGTTAATAGTAAATCCAAAATGGCTACCATGATATATCTTATCTTCAAATTAGCTGCCCATGCCATTAGACATAATAAAATCAAACAAGATAGACAATAAAACCCAACCCAAGAAAACAATGAGAATAATACAGGAACTTGAAAAAGACAACAGAGAATTAACAATGGCTATCACCTTCAGGAGATCCCTCATGTATGCTACACTGTGTGTTGTTATCCTTTTAACAGATGATCAGACTACCGGCTTTAGGCTTGCAAAGTCAGTGAAACCCTAAACACTACAAACAATAAATTGTATTTTACCTCATTAGCTATTACCACAGCCTCTGTTTCTTCAGATCAGCTGGTCATTTACGGGTGTGGGGGAACCTTGGCTCTTATCTCCTTGCCCGCGTGCCAGAAGGGGCTGGTGTCAGGCTTCCCCTCAGTCAGCCTGTGCATGACATGGGCTCACAGGAGGTTTAGCTTCTTGTTCACTTCTTGTTCTCCTTCCCTGCAGTCTGTGAACGGCACCAAGTCACAAGAGAGGGCTGGCATCTTAGAAAAAGATGCTTTCATACTTGAAACTTTAAGAACAGAGCAGAATATGGTGAATGCCAAACTCAACATGCTTAAAACCAAATTCTGTCATCTGGTTTTCCTTCTGCCTCCCTCACACTCCTTGCTTTGCACTACCGATACTTCCACGATGACCACAGCCTGTCTCATGTCTTTAAATACCATCCATATTCTGAGACATCCTAGCAAACTCCACCATTGAATTTAACTCATTATATCCAGTTGCTTACTCAACTTTTCCACTTGGATTCTAACAAAAACCTCAAAATTAACATGACCAAAACATAATTTTTGATTCCTGTACCTCCATCACAACCCTACTTTTCTCCATCTTTCCATCTCTTTAAGTTTATTCTCTTCATTCTCTCCCCTGTGTCATAATTGTTAACTCATTTTCTCACATTCTAAGTCCTAAATAAAAATAAATCCTGTCAAACTCCACTTTCAAAATACATCTGGAGGCTGGGAATGGGGGTGCACACCTATAATCCCAGCAGTCAGAGGATGAGATGGGAAGATCACTGCTAGTTTGAGACCAGCCTAGGCTATGCAGTGAATTCAGTGCCAGCCTGAACTACATGGTGAGACACCATCTCAAAAAAAACAGACCTTGGAATCCAGTCACGTTTTACCACATTCATGGCCACTATCCTACTTCATCTAATCAATGTTTCTTCCCTGGATTTTGCTTATAGCTTTAGCCAACGTGTTTTCCAAAATCTTACCTTTGACCCCTCTGCCTCCGTGGACCTACCTCCAGCTCCTTGGTAGAACTTCTTCGTATATGAGCCAGAGGGATTATTTTGAAATCTAACTCAGATATCTCTCTTGTGTTCAAAACTGTCCAATGATTTTATAATGATCAAAACTCATTATAGCCAGTTGCTTACTCAACTTTTCCACTTGGATTCTAACAAAAACCTCAAAATTAACATGACCAAAACATAATTTCTTTCTCAATATCTTTTTTAAAAATTATTTTATTTATTATCTTTTTTTTTTTTTTTTTTTTTTTGAGACAAGGTGTTGCTATGCAGTTCAGGCTGGCCTTGAACTCACATTGTAGCCCAAGCTGGTCTTGAACTTGCAGTGATTCTCCTGCCTCAGCCTCCCAAGTGCTGGTATTACAGGTATGTGCCACCACACCTGGCTTAATTTTTTATTGTAAAGTGAATAAAACCAAGCAAAATAAAACAGAATAAAGCCAATCAAAACTAAGTGATATAAAGTTTCAAAACAAGAAATTAACAGTGGCTACTGTAATGTCTGTTGTCTTAAAATAGCTGCCCATACCATCAGACACAGAAAAATCAAACAAAATAGAACAA